GGAGTGGGGGGAGTGGAGTGGGGGAGTGGAAGAGTGGAAGAGTGGGGGAGTGGGGGAGTGAGGGAGTGGGCGAGTGGGGGGAGTGGGGAGAGTGGGGGGAGTGGGGGAGTGGGGGAAATGGGGGAATGGGGAAGTGGGGGAATGGGGGAGTGGGGGAGTGGGGGAGTGGGGAGTGGAGGAGTGGGGGAATGGGGGAGTGGAGGTGGGTTGTGGAGGTGTGGAGGAGTGGAGGAGTGGAGGAGTGGAGGAGTGGAGGTGTGGAGGTGTGGAGGTGTGGAGGAGTGGAGGAGTGGAGGAGTGGAGGAGTGGAGGTGTGGAGGTGTGGAGGTGTGGAGGTGTGGAGGTGTGGAGGTGTGGAGGAGTGGAGGAGTGGAGGTGTGGAGGAGTGGAGGAGTGGAGGTGTGGAGGTGTGGAGGTGTGGAGGTGTGGAGGTGTGGAGGTGTGGAGGTGTGGAGGAGTGGAGGTGTGGAGGTGTGGAGGTGTGGAGGTGTGGAGGTGTGGAGGTGTGGAGGTGTGCGAGAGGAGGAGGGGAGGGAGGGGGTTGACCATGAAACCCTAAACCCTAAACCCAAAAATATGATTCTAAGGTTGGGATGGTCCCAAGTGGAATCAAGGCAGCGCTAACCCCAACCCGGACTCTTCCGCAGCAAGAGTCGTAGCTCCGGTCCGGATGCGGGTGAAATCCGCGAGAAAGGGTTTAGGGTTTAGGGCCTAGGTTTGGCGTTTAGGGTTTAGGGTTTAGGGTTTAGGGTTTAGGGTTTAGGGTTTAGGGTTTAGGGTTTAGGGTTTAGGGTTTAGGGTTTAGGCGCTGAAGTACCCTCCATTCTCAGCCCGGAGCTGCTTGCCGATGCTCTTGGGTACGTGCCCGGCTGAGCCATCACCTGGTGCGCGGCGAACCAAAACACATGCACGTCGGATGACAGGCGGGAGGTGCCAGGGTTTAGGGTTTAGGGTTTAGGGTTTAGGGTTTAGGGTTTAGGGTTTAGGGTTTAGGGTTTAGGGTTTAGGGCCAGGATCGGATTGAGCGTCACGGGTGTGCAAAGCTCAGCCGCTTTGCTTGGCAATGTCAACTCGGTACATGCGAAACGCACCCATGCCTCGGACCGACTCGCCGGTGCCATGGACGCATCAGTCTCTGAAATAAAGTCAGCCTATGTGACCTATGTGCGAGGGTTTCATGTCTGTCTTGTTTTATTGTCCAAACTACACGACTGCTCCCAGAACAATATGACTGAGCCATAGCCCTGAATCCGAAACATCCCTAAACTGCAGCATTTAGGGTTCCTCCGCCTTTGCTTGCATGCGCGAGTTTGGTCTACAACTTGAGCCTCAAGGAACGGCTGCGCGCCTCTAACGGGCTATGCAGCTTACAGTGTGGCGTTGCGACCCGCCCAACGTCGCACGGAACGGCAACACTTCAAACCTAAACGCCGCTCGCGAAGCAAGCTTGCGGATCAAAAGGTGTCATGCATCGCGAGGTTTTTCCATGTCGCCATGCTTCTGGTTGCAGTCATTAGCGTTCTTGCACACCCTCAGGTTCTCCGCGCAGCGCTCCGGAGCTTTAGTTCTTCTAACGCTATTTAAGCTTACGCTACATTTAAGCTTCTAAGTACAGCACAGTTTCAGGTGGGCAGCTCCTTTCTCAGCCTTTATAAACAGTTAAAACACTAGGTCAACAACACCCAAGCGGAGAACCCGAAGTACCGCATAACCACGTGCATTCAGGCATCCTCGACCGGCAAGCGCTGGCCGGTCTGCTGATTCCACCACCAATTCTGACCTGGTCCGGAGATTCATGTGATTTCGGGTGTAGGGTTTAAAGAGTTTAGGGAGTCAGGGCCATATCCTCAAACAATCTCCTTCGGAATCCTCGAGACATCTTCCTGCTCGTTCTTCACCCTCAATTGGCCAAAACAATCTTCTTTAGAATCCTCAAAGACTTCCTGCTCGATTTCCACCCTCTACAAATCTAGCAAAAGCTGCTGTCGAAGACGCCTCCCAGGATGTGCATCAGTTTCGGGGCTCTTTACAAGTTTGGGGGGACAAGCTGGCTGCCTCAACCCAGATTCGCCATGTGAACTTCTTGCGAGTTCTAACCCTTGAATGGAAATTTTTGAGGTAGCTAATGCCCGAAAGCCCTACTGACATGCGAGAGCTTTGTTCGACCAAGATGCCTAGATATCCAGAGTACATCATCCATCCACAGGCGACGTTTCCGGGCTGCGCCATGCCATGTGGCATCGGGCGGGGCATCGCCGGCGACATCGCTTGCGACATGCTGCCAGCCCGGCTCGGCGTTGCGAGGGTGAAGATGGCATCGGCGGCGTCCTATGGCGGAGGGCTTGCTCTGCTTGCATTGGCGTGTCAGCGTCTTTTGCTGCACCTGTAGATCCTATATGCTGCGTGGAGTGAGGGACGGATTGAGTGAAGCTTTTGCTGATTCTACTGTTCCTATTTTACACGTGTGGAGTGGGGATGAGTGGAGCGTGGAGCTCGTGGAGCTAGCACACAGCACGTTCACTGTCTACTAGGGTGGGGTGCTTGGACCCCTCGCTGCATCGTAAACTTGAGGGGCCCGGCCGCAACGAAAGCTGGCCCGGGTTGACGCCAATATGGATGAGACACACCACAGCACTACCGCCACCACCACCACTACCACCACCACAGTCCACACTCCACCACACACATCCACACTCGACCACCATAACCGCCGCCACACTCCACCACCATAACCGCCGCCACACTCCACACTCCACCACACCCCACACACTGTCACCGCCACACACGCGCTCACGGAGAGTGTGATCCAGAACATGCGCCCGTACAGACCGCGATCTATAACGCCACGACTGCGCGTCTGTCGCCACCACCCCCCCCCCTCCCCCAAACCCCCAAACTATTGACAAATTCGCCCCGCCCACTGCGTCAAAGGAAATTACTGATAGATTCTATGCCCCCACCCCCCCCCTCCTTTCCCTCGAAAGTATCAGCTATTTTGCACCCTGACCGGGGGTTGACCGCTTCCTTCGCAAAGCACGAGAAACTCCGGCCTAGCCCGCGTTAGCTTGCGTGATCACGCAAGGAGTGCCCGGTCCCCTCAAAATGGGGGGCGGCTGAGCCAGCACTGCCTGTATCCCGTAAAGTGCGTTATTGTGCGCAGCCGCCTTATCAGCTCCAAGCTTCAACCAACAAAATCACAGATTTCAGGGTTTAGGTTTCTGAGTACCATAAGGGGAGAATCGGAGAATCCCAGCATCTCCCAACATCTCGGAAACCGGCACGCCTGGGAGGGTGCGGGCTCGTCTTCCTCGCTCTTGCGGCTTGCCGCCACAGCCAGCATTGCGCTTGCCAGCGTCGCCTCCTGGCTTACTGGGGGTTTAGGGTTTAGGGTGTAGGGTTCAGGGTTCAGCCCACAGTGTAAAGGTGTGATCGCAGAGTGAAGCGTCACAGCTTAGTGATGCTAGCACGGGTGCACTCCGGCGACGTCGAGGAGGGTGGATTCAAGGCTGTAGGCTGCGAATTTTACGGTGAATGGGCCCTGGTGTTGAGTTTAGAGGTTTCCAAAAAACCACACCCGAGATCCTCCTTTCCTGCCGCACCGGAGGTCTGAGGTGCAACACTGCTCGCAATCACGGGCTTAGTGACCCCAATATTTCAACCCTAATGGCATCAGTGGGCATCTGTCGAAAGTTAGTGGGCGTTTGTCAAGAAGGTATGTCTTTCGTTTAGGTGCCTATAGGGTTCAGGGCATACGTTTTGGGACGCCAAGGTTTCGGGCATAGGGTTTAGGCCCTAGGGTTAATCGGGTGTAGTTTGGGGCATAGTGTCTAGGGCCCTGGGTTTGGGGCATAGGGTTGGGCCCGAGCTCTAAACCCCAATAAAACTAAACTCCAAACCCTAAACCCCAAACCCCAAACCCTAAACCCTAAATACCTGAACCCTAAATACCTGAACCCTAAATACCTGAACCCTTGACGCTTTAGGGTTTAGGGTTTCTAAACCCTAAACCCCAAAAGGCCCTGGAACCCGCGCCTCCAGCCGGGCACTGGATAGCAGCGCCTCCTGGTACCGGGGAGCCGGGGTTCTTGCAGGCGCTTGGGTTCCGTTTAGGGTGGGTTTAGGGTTTAGGGTTTAGGGTTTAGGGTTTAGGGTTTAGGGTTTAGGGTTTTAGGGTTTTAGGGTTTTAGGGTTTCGGGTTTAGGGGGGTTTAGGCTTTAGGGTTTAGGGCAACTTTTTTGGGTATCTTGGGCTTAGGGTTGGGGGTTAAGGCTCGGGTGTAGGGTTCAGGGTTCAGGCTCAGGGGCTTAGGGGATTCGACGTAAGGGTTCAGGGGTCTCCGGTTTGTGGGTTTAGGGCTCGGGGAGTTCCCTTCGGCTGTCACATTCGTAGCGACTCTGGTCCCCATGTCTGAGCGAGCGGAGAGATATTGGGACCTAAGAGCCCAAACTCTAAACAGGCCTGGGACGTGAGGAGGCACTTTTTCGAAACAACGTCGATGGAGAGGGCCAGGAACTTCACGAGGATCGGCGTCGATGTCGTGATGACCTGGGCACATGAGGACTGAAGAAAATGACAGCTTTAAGTTTAAGGAAAGGCTTGGGGATTCAAGGCTACAAGTAAGTCATGGGTGCTAGGACATCCAGCCTGTTCAAAAAGAATGCGCATTTCGGGTCCTTCTTGTCATCAATAGGGGGGGGTGGGGGGGGAGCCTTCAACCCTATAAACCCTACATGGACCCTCAGGCCGTCACACCTGAGAGTTTAGGGTTTAGGGTTTAGGGTTGAGAGTTTAGGGTTCCGGTGCTTCGGGCAGCCGCTGGCCGCTTTGCGGCTTTCCCGATGGTTAAAACTGCTGAGCTGCCATCACGCTAGGCGGGTTTCTGACACCAAACCTCGACAGCTTAGGAGCAATTGCTTGTAATGGTCATCCTATATATCCTCTTTAAGGTACGACAATTGTGAGTATTAACTCTTATCTACACACTATACATATACACACAATCAGCTGACGCCCTTTTTCGTGTTTCATGTGCTCAGTCGACTCGTCTAACCACACAACTCCCCTCAAAGTCATCACATGTATAGGGTGTTTGTTTTCATGTTTCTCTCCGGTTCTTCACACTGGACAGAGTGGACAACGCTATTTCGGGGGCGGCAGGTTTAACCGGCCCGAAACCCTAAACCCTAAACCCCTAAACCCCTAAACCCCTTTACCCCTAAACCCTAAACCCTAAACCCTAAACCCCTAACCCTAAACCCTAAACCCAAAAAAGGGGCGTTGGAGCTTTGGCCGAGGCTCTTCGAACGTGCCAGGTCCCATGTGCCTCGGAAAAAGCAAGCAGACTATTGGGTTTAGGGTTTAAGGTTTAGGGTTTAGGGTTTAGGGTTTAGGGTTTGGGGTTCAAGCAGGGCTCATCTTCAACAAAAAAAGACGAACATTGACGTGGTCAGTCCTAGCGGCTGGCGGCACACGGCCTGGAAGAGATCCATCAGCTCCTTGTCGCCTCTATCGCTTGAGTTTGTAATGTCTTTCCTCGCGCTCTCTCGCTCTCTCTCTCTCTCTGTCTATCTATCTCGCCCTGTTTATCTAAAATGGTATGTATATATTAGGACCGCGAACCATATTGTTATACGAGAGGTGTGGGTCTTAAGCAAACCTTCCTGTTCTATATGTCTCACTCTCTTGCTCTCTCTCCCCCTCTTTCTCTCTCTCTGTGCTCTCCTGGCGATGGCTCTCTAAACCCGTCTCTGAGGGAGTCAACTCGCGAATCGGAAAAGCCTGAACACGCCGAACATGCGGAGCCCAGCACGTGCTACATCATGTCTGTCATAATCTCGAGGTTATCAGGAGATAGTATGGGGAGATTTTGGGCTGTTGCATTGTGGGCTGGTAGGGGGGGGCTCATCCGGCTCAAACTACGAACTTTAAACCCTAGTTCCCCCAACGCGAAGGGTGCCTGTCAGCTGGTGGCAAAGCATCGGGACCTGTCTGTAAAGCACGTTTGTCCCTCAAGAAGTTTCGGCTGAGAGTTTGGATGTTGGGTTTCGGGGCGCAGGGCTCAGGGTTGAGGGTTGAGGGTTCAGGGTTCACCCTCTACCCCACAATCGCGCACTAGGCCTTCCCTAGTATGCGAAGCGTGCCGTGGGCCTGACAAGTCGCTTCGGATCATGCAGCAGCAATAATAGTAACAAGAAAGGCAACTCGTCACTTCCAGTGCAATAGCTAGACTGATGATGATGCATCGAAAATAGGCATGGCAGTTGCGTGTGCTACTGCAACAATCAACGTCGTCATCATGATCGATGCTGACAAAATGAACCGTGCTAGTAAGGGAATCGCTTAGCGTTGTTCCCTAAACCCTAAGCCCGAAACCCTAAACCCTAAACCCTAAACCCTAAACCCTCGGAACTTGCTTTGGGAGCTACTTGCTTGTTCCCAGCAGGGTATGGTTTGCATAGCCCCGAGGATCCCTGACAATGAAAGCCCTTCGGGAAGGATCATACTCCGGCAACGCTTTGTCGAACAGCACAGCTCTTCACCACGTAAACCCCAAACCCCAAACCCCAAACCCCAAACCCCAAACCCCAAACCCCAAACCCGAACCCCAAACCCCGAACCCTAAACCCTAGACCCTAGACCCTAGACCCTAAACCCTAAACCCTTGCCTCCTTGTAGCACATCTCGGCGATAATCTCGCAGCAGGCCAAGGTCGAATGTCCATAAAGTTCATCTGCGAGGCCTTGGGTTCAGGGTTGAAGGGTTAATTTAACCAGGGCCAATGTTTTCGGGTCCAGGGGTTAGGGTTTAGGGTTTAGGGTTTTGGCTTTAGGGTTTAGGGTTTAGGGTTTAGGGTCAGGGCTTAGGCTTCAGGATTCAAGCGCTTGGGGTTCAGGGTTCATCGAAGGTCATTTACACATTTAGGGATTTGGAGCTTCGGGGGTTTCAGGGTTAAAGGATTTTTGGTCTTCGAGTTGACAGGGATTCCGGGCCGGCGCGGCGCAAGGGCACAAAAGGCGTTTAGGGTTTAGGGTTTAGGATTTAGGGTTTCGCGCAGGGAACGCAGGAGTCACGACGTTCGCATTCTCTGGGGTTTAGGGCTGAGCCAGGGTCAGGGCTTCGGGGAACAGTCGCGGGGCTGTTTTTGTTTTTTCTCTAAGGCTACTTTAGAAAATCCACGGATACAGCCCAAGTCATGTTCACACACGACTGAAACTCTTGCAGTAAACCCGATGGAGCCTATGTAAAAGCGTGAATTCAAAGCCACACCCTGAACCACCCTAAGCCCTAAGCCCTATACCGTACCCTAAACCCTAAACCCTAATCCCTAAGCCCTAAGCCCTGTACCCTGCACCCTGGGGCTGTGAACCTGTACACCTTAGCCCCTGGTAGGCTCCCGAAATTCTGGGCCCTCTTCAGAGCATCCAAAAAAACAACACGGGGGTTTAGGGTTTAGGGTTTAGGGTTTGGGGTTTAAGGTTTAAGGTTTAGGGTTTAAAATTTAGGGTTTAGGGTTTAGGGTTTAGGGTTTAGGGTTTAGGGTTTAGGGTTTAGGGTTCCTGCACATGACTTCGGTAAGCCCACAACCCTGGCGCCTGTAACCTCAGCCCTAAGCCTCCAGAACCCCGAAACCCGGAAGCCCGAATCTGACAACCCATCGCGCCCTCTACCTCAACCCAAACACCTAGAGCTCTGAAACCCGGAAACGCTAGATCCCTAAAACCAGTAATCAAGACCAAAACACCCTAAACCCTAAACCCTAAAACCAAACCCTAAACCCTAGACCCTAAACCCTAAACCCTAAACCCCAAACCTTACAACCCAAAAGCCCTCAAACCCTCAACTCAAAAGCCCTGAACATGCTGGCTTCCCATCTCTGCCAGTTGCCTAAGAACCCCCCCCCCAAAAAAAAAAAAATCCTCCTTATAAGCGTATTATAAGGGTATTATAATATATATATATATATTCTTTTTTTTTTGGTTTTGTTGTTTTTTTTTTTGGGGGGGGGTGTGCGGCTCTTGAGCAAGTAGTAGATCTGTGGCTCGAGCCCATACACTCCAGCAGCGGCCGCAGGTACGTGTTGGGCCAGTCTTGGTCCAGCCCCGGCGCCTCGGTTAGGGGTTTAGGGGTTTAGGGGTTTAGGGGTTTAGGGGTTTAGGGGTTTAGGGGTTTAGGGGTTTAGGGGTTTAGGGGTTTAGGGGTTTAGGGGTTTAGGGGTTTAGGGGTTTAGGGGTTTAGGGGTTTAGGGGTTTAGGGGTTAGGGGTTTAGGGGTTTTAGGGTTAGGGGTTAGGGGTTTAGGGGTTTAGGGGTTTAGGGTTTAGGGGGGGTTTTAGGGGTTTAGGGGTTTAGGGGTTTAGGGGTTTAGGGGTTTTGGGGGTAGAGGTTTTGGGGTTTAGGGATTTAGGGGTTTAGGGGTTTAGGGGTTTAGGGGGGGATTTAGGGGTTTAGGGGTTTAGGGGTTTAGGGGTTTAGGGGTTTTAGGGGTTTAGGGGTTTAGGGGTTCAGGGGTTCAGGCGTTCAGGGTTCAGGGGTTTAGGGGGTTTAGGGGGTTGGGGGAGTTTGGGGGGGTTAGGGGTTTAGGGTTTAGGGTCCAGGGCCAGGGTTTAGGGCTCAGCATTCAGGGTTGAGTCTTCAGAGTTCAGGGTCTTCTTTCGAGGCTCTGTAGGGCTTGAAGAGTGCTACAGTCAGTGTTGAGTGGTTTCTGTGGGTTTGTATGGCTTGGGGTTGGGGACTGGCGTAGGGGTGCTGGCCCCCAGCACGGAAGCAGGGAATGAGTTTGCCCTTGGCCTCCTCCCTGCCGGTGCAAAAGAAGGCAAAAAAACCTCCAAAAACCAAGTTATGGCTCGACTTTACGCTGCAACCAGACACCGAGGTGATGAGAAGTCTTGAACGCTTCTTGGGGGCCAAAATTGCCAGACCAGCGGCTTGCTTTGCCAAGGACTTGGTCTCCGAATAGTATTCCTGGGCATCTTAACTCCTTGTAGGGTTTAGTTGTGTTTTTTTTTTTTCGGTTTTTGTTTTTTTTTTGGGGGGGGCGACAAGACATGCAACATCAGCAACTGTTGACATTGCCGTAGAACCCTGAACCCCCCATGTCCACCTCAAAAGCCCGGCGATGGCAGACAAAACGTACTGTTAGTTCCGGCTTTGGAAATTTGCTTGTCTGACCTACAAAGCCCCACTTTGGTGTTGGTGATTTTGGCCCCCTGCTTGCTTGATGCTAGCGCGGCGATGACAAAAAGACATTTTGTTAGTTGTGAATGTTTTTTTTTGTGACCTGATTGCCTGATACAAGCAAGGCGGGCCGAAGGCCAAAGCGATGACGAAAAAACCGGGAAAGCCTCGCGTTGTTTGGCGACCTGGCTGGTGAGCAATGGCCTCCATGATATGAGGGTGTGTATGACTGGCTTTGTGGGCAAGGCGTGCCGCTGAAGTCACCCGGTGAAGATGCTGAGTCAGGAGTTGGTGCAGGAATACCAGCTGAGCTGTTTTCCAAGCGCGGACAAAAAGGAAGAAAACATTTGCTAGTAGTGATTTTGCTCATCTGATCATCTGACCAAACACGGCGATGACAAAACATCGTGTTTGTGGTGATGTTTGTGATCTGATTGTCTGATGCAAGCAAAGCTATTCACAAAATTTTAAAAACCATGGGTTAGTAGTGGTTGTGGCTATCTAATCGTCTGGTTGAAGCAGCGATGACAAACAAAACGCATTTTGTTAGTGGTGACTTTTTGATCCAATTTGATGCAAGCAAGGCCGTGACAAACAACACTTAGTAGCGACTTTGAGCATCTGATGATCTGATGCAAGCACGGCGATGACAAAAACAACTCCACTTACTCCATTTTGTGATTCTGGTGGTCTGGCGCAAATAAGGTGCTGACAAAACAGATGTTAGTGGCAATGCTAGTCACCTCACTGTCTAATGCAAGCGCGGTGATGACAAAAAACAGCCCAGTTTGTTACTGGTGATTCTCGTAGTCTTGATGCAAGCAACGTGCTGACAAAACAACAAATGTTTGTAGTGACGTTGAGTCATCTGATTGTCTGCTGCAAGCGCAGCGATGACAAAAAATATTTGGTAGCGGTAATTCTTGTGACCTGATTGTCGGATGCAAGGAAGACGGTGGCAGCAAAAAAGCTAGTACAGTTCGTAGTGGTTTTGGTCATCTGATCGTCTGATGCAAGCACTGCGATGAGAAGAAGCCTCATCTTGTTAGTGGTTTTTGCGATCTGATTGTCTGATGCATGCTATACGCCAAAGAAATGGAAAACAGCATCCATTGGTAGCGATTTTGTTCGGATCATCTGACGCAAAGCACGGGGATGACACAAACAAGCCCGTTCAGAGTGGTGACTTTGGTGTTATGCCAACACAAAGACGTTCGGAATGACTTTGGTCGTCTGATTGTCTGATGCAAGCACGGCGACGACCAAAAAAAAAGTTGCGAGGCCCTGAGCCGGAAACCTTAAACCCCTAAACCCTTAAACCCATAAACCCTAAAAACCCTTAAACCCTAAACCCTAAACCCTAAACCCCTAAACCCCTAAACCCCTAAACCCCTAAACCCTTAAACCATAAACCCTCAACCCTTAAACTCTAAACCCGTAAGCCCTTAAACCCGTAACCCCGTAAACCCTAAACATTCAAGGTTTCACCGAACAAGCGCTTGTCATCTTGATCAACCTGGTCGACTGAACAACACTGGTGGTTGACCTTGATTTGAACAGCCACCGATGACCGATTGACCTAGATTAGCATAAAAGGCTGAACTACCATACATCTGAACATATTTAGTTATATGGGCAAGAGGAGTTTAGGTTTAGGGGTTGCAGGTTTCACCCGAGACCCCTAGACCCCCAAACACCCTAAGCACCGAAAGAAACCCAAGACTAATCCCCCTCGCCCTCTTTTAGGGCTTTCGATCGGGCTCAGGGTTCTTGCAAGGTTGCACCTCAGAAGAAGGCCGAAACAAAGAATCCCACACTCGATCAGTACATATGGCCCAGGTTTAGGGTTCAGGGTTTAGGGTTTAAGGTTTAGGGTTTAGGGCTCAGCGCTTGGTCTAGTGTTTAGGGTTTAGGGCTTAGGGCTGGGGGCCTAGGCCTGGGGTCTGGGCTTCAAGGCCTTTGACTTTCGGGGCCTAAGGTTTGGGGTTCAGCCTCCCGTTTCAGGGCCAGGGAGGGCTTAGGGTTTAGGGTTTAGGGTTTAGGGTTTAGGTTTAGGGTTTAGGGTTTAGGGTTGAGGGTTCAAGACATACGAGTAAGTACCCCAGAGGCAAGTCGAGCTACCGCCGCCACTGTGCTTGGCTTTGAGCTGCAGCCTGGGCGAGACCCTTCCCTTCCATTGACTGTGCATCCGAAAGGGCTTGGGGTGTTTAGGCTGTTGAGGGTGGCTAGAGTTCACGGCAGGGCTTCGAGCGTTCGAGGACGCTTACGGCATTTAGGGCATTTTCAGAGTGTGAGGCGTTCAGGGCTCGGAGCCTTCGAGACGCCCTCGCAAGCCGCATCCCGCATACCGGGTTTCGGGTGCAAAGTGTAAATCCGAAGCCTAAGGGCCCGAACTCGAAACTTCAACCCAAAAAACGCTAGCAAGGACACCCCGTGGCACGTTGGGGCTCCCGCTTCCACTGGCATTGCCTTTGCTGACCGAAGACATCGGGGGGCTCCTCTTTGCGATGGGCGGCGCTGGCAACGCAAGCGGCCGCTGCAAGATCTGAACGGGCGGGGCCTTGCGGGGGGTTGCTGGCTTCGGGGCATCGGCGTCGGGGGTCTCTGGCTTCGTCGCCTCGACCTCGGGGTCCTTGGCTGCCACCTTGGGCACTGACACCTTTGGGGCTGGCACCTTGGGAGCTGGCACCTTGGGAGCTGGCACTTCCGCCTTGGGTGCTTCCGCCTTGGGTACTTCCGCCTTGGGCACTGCCTCCTTATCCTCCTTGGCCTCCTCCTTCTTTGCTTCCTCGCTCTGCTCCTTGGCTTCGGGGGCTGGGGGCTCCACCTTCGCAGCCAGCTTCGGGGCCGGTACGAACTTGTCTGCTTGCGGAACCTTTGGCTTGGGCGGGACTGGCTTGGGGCTGGGCTTTGGGTTCGGAGGTGGCGCAGCCGTCGCCGGAGGGTTCAGCGGCTGCCCGTCAGGCGGCCGCGTAGCTGGCGCGCGTCTGGCGTTGTAGTGCTGGACTTCCTGACGTCTGGGAAACCCTGAACTACATGACATTTTTAAGAAATTTAGCCGGCTTAGCCTTAGGCCTGCCGGAAACCCTCGAACAGGCCCTGAAGGTTTGAGAATCCTGCATTCCTCCAAGAGCTGAGAATCACATCATGTTGCCTAGGGCTCGGGGCTTAGGGTGGATCTAGGGTTTAGGGCACACCCTAGATCCTAAACCCGAAGGGCTTGACTAAGGTTCCTGACCCCCAAGCAGTTGAGGTCCTTCATGACGCACCTTCGACCGTGCAAGGGCTTCTGCTTGCTCTCGTAGGCCTGAGAACGAGGCCGTTTAGGGTTTAGGGTTTAGGGTTTAGGGTTTAGGGCTTAGGGCTTAGGGCTTTAGGGTTTTTGGTTTGGGGTTTAGGGTTTGGGAAGCCCAAGAGGCCAAAGTGCATCCTCAAGAGGCCTAGCTAGACATTACTCAACCTCAGATTTGCGACCTCGGCTCGGGGAGGACGCCGTCTCAGCGCTTTCAGGGGTAAAGCCCCCCAATGTGGGTTTAGGGTTCGGGGTTTAGGGTTGAGGGTTTAGGATTAAGGGTTGGGTTTCGTGTCCGGGGCTGGGGGCTTAGGGCTTTGGGGTGGAGAGTTTCGGGCTCGGGGGTCAGGGCCGTGGATACTTTTCCTTTTGGGGGGAGGGGGGGGGGGGGGCAGGTGGCAGGTGGTTAAGACTGAAGGGCTGGGTTTCCTTTCCAACCTTCCGGGCATCGTAGGCTTTGGTGTTTGTGGGAACCTGACTCCAGTGGAGCTGACTAAGAAGACTGTGAGCGTTCCAGGGCTCCAGTTGATTGCTTCGGGTTGCACTAGGGTTGAGGGTTTAGGGCTTACGGTTTGGGGTTTAGGGTTTAGGGCACTCGCAGCTTGGAAATGCCCGCGACATTTGAATCATGCCCAGGAAGGGTTTGGGGCTTTGGGTGTTGGATGGTCGCTCCTGCAACCTCCCTTAGCCGATACTTGCCGACAGATGCCCCTACACGCTGCTGCACAAGGGCTTCAAAAAAAAAACGCCGCTCAGCAGCACTTCAGCCCTGTCTGGGCAGAAGCTTGTAGAGCCCGTCTGTCTTTGACTTAGGAATCCCATGAGCCCGTAACCCTAAGGCTAAAGGCTTAAACGCCGATAAGACCCCTATCAGACCCACAGGCAAGGAAGACTGGAATCGGGAAACCCCCTCCCAGCCGCGAAGGAGCGCCTCCGCGCATCGCTTACAGCAGAATCCGCCAGCCCATCCGCCGGGGGCGACCTCGTACCTGGGCTGAGGCTGCATGGGGGGTTTAGGGTTTAGGGTTTAGGGTTTAGGGTTTAGGGTTTAGGGTTTAGGGTTTCAGGTTTAGGGTTTAGGGTTTAGGGTTTAGGGTTTAGGGTTTAGGGTTTAGGGTTTAGGGTTTAGGGGGGGGTCTGAGAGTGGGAAATTTGGGGATCAGGTGTCAGGATGGTTGGAGGGGGGGGAGATTACAGTATACCACTTTCGGTGGCTTTCCCCGCCCCACCACCAGAACACAAAACTCGTGTCTAAGCGCATCCCAAGGACCAGCATGATGGATGCGCGCAAAGAAACGTCTCCCATGAGCCCGGCATTGCCGCTTGCGCCCAGGCAGCCCTCGCAGGCACGTCCGAACAAATGATCGCAGATTAAGCTGCTTGCTTGTACTTAGAACTGCACCTTTGTGTGGTCCTGAAGAGTCCGGAATGCTTTACTAGAGGTGCCCTAAGAATGCCAAGTGCCAACCTTCTTTTCGGGAATCCCATGCTTCCTCTCCTAAACTCTCTTGTGCTCCTTGCTCACCCCTAGCACTTCGAATCCGGCAACGTGCCTACAGGGGCTCGAGCCCGACGTCGCGTGAAGGCTTGCTTCATTTGAGTGACTTCGGGCAGGAAGTTTTTGGGGTTAGGGTTCAGCGGGCAAGGTGCGGTGAAGCACGACACTGACAGCTGCCAAATGCCAAGCGGTAGAATTTGGAAGCTCCCGAGCTACCCCCATCTTTTCATGAGGCATTTCGCTTGTCACCTGGCAAAGCCCGACTCGGGTCCAGCGAAGCGACCTGCAGAAAACGGGTCTTCGGTGCATTCAGGAATAGTCGGGCTTCGGCCTTGGGAATTAGAAGGGGCTGCAGGCCGGACTGTCACTCTAGAAGGTTTGGGAGGCTTTCGAGTTGTTCTCACTACTAAGCGATTCTAACCCTAAACCCCGGCTTAAGCCCAGAAACTTTCCTGAAGCACTTAATCCCAGGAAGCCCTCAACACAGACATCTGAAGCCCAAAATGCCCCGCACATCCTAGGTCCTAAGTCCCAACCTGAACCATACACCCGCCACCTCCCGATGTCCAAAAGTCGCAGGAACCGGCAGAGTGGGAACAGCGTGGCTGTAAGCGGTTCCCTCGCATCTGAAAGACCCTCAGGCCTGCAATTCGCCCAGTTCACTCCGGAACAACCCTAAACCCTAAGCCCTAACCTGAACTTTAAACCCTGAACCCTAATCCCTAGGAGGCTTCGGATTGCAGGAAGCCCCTCGAGTCAACTCGAAAGGACCTCAAAGCCTGGACTTTCCAGGGGGCAATTGGCTGCTTCTGGCTCTTCCATTCTGAACTCTCTCTTTTCGTGGCCCAAAACCCTGAACCCGACTTTTCTCAAAAACCATTGCAAACCCTTCGGCACCTTTGACGCCACGGACGAGGATAGCCCGGGCATTGGCCCCTTGCCTCGGCGTCTGTGACCTCGGGGAAGCTTTCGTTCGTGGATTGCAGGACCTCTTCGCACCGAAACCACCCAAAGGCCCCAAGCTTTGAGTCCCGAGCCATTTTTCGCAAGCACTTGATACCCGTGCCATGCCAGGCTAGACAGTCGGGGGGGCAGTCAGCCCCACCTCCATACCAAACGACAAACAGACCCCTTGACAGAAAAAACGAGTTTGTCTCTTCAGCCTTGTCATGCAGACAATGCAGGCATGGAGGCAGGTCAGCGGCCCGACTGTGTTCGCGGCGTTGCATGGCACAGGGAGGCTCAGGGAGGTTTCGTTGACAGTCCAAGCGAAACAAGTCGACAGTTATACGCACATCTGCGGAATCTTTAGTTCAGCAGCTGTGATGACACTCAAAGGCTTAAAAGCCATGCTTGAGGAATCACTTCGCCGACTAAGGTGTCGCAACACAAAGATGATACAGGAGCTCTGAGAGGATCATGCTTAAAACCTCTGCACGATGCATCGGTTCCCAGGGCGCTTTGCCCTGCTCAGCTTGAAAGGAGTCCGAAGCAAAGAAAGCTCCAGGCAAAGCTAGCCAAAGATGCCAAAGCTCGAAGACCACCCGACGTCGTGCCGTCTCCTGCTGTCCCTGATCCGCTCAGGCTGGAAGACGTGCCAAACTGCTCCTCCGGGTTGGGATCCGCCACGTAGAGCATCTTGCGGTTTGCCTCGGCACATTGGGTCAGGTCCGTTCGAGCATAGTCGTCGCAGTAGAAGACCACGCCGTAGCTCCGCCAGGTGCCTGCGACCTCACCCGTGAAATCGACCTTCGGCGTAAAGGTCCCGCTCGTGAGGAGCACGGCCGAGGACGCAGCGTCGCCAGAGTGAAGCATCACTGCACGAGCATCATCCATGCGATCACCTGACTGAAAGCCGCTCCTGCCGTCCAGGAAAGGAACAGCCGCCATGTTCTTGCTCGTCGTGGTGCCGGTGTCCCCACTGTAGGTTGCATAGAGGCTTGCGTCGTTGAGCAAGTTGACGGCGTTGTAGTACACCCACTTGCCGGTAGCACCGCACATCTTCAAGTCTGAAGCAGAGATGCTGGCGTCGCTGAGCAGCGTGTTTTGGGCTGGGCAGGCTACAGGTCCTAGGTCCAGAAAAAAAAGAGCGCTCGGGCGTCCAACTTGCTTGGTCAGGCTTCGTCCCTCTTTACCGTTCTGTATGTTTCTTTATCCTGCTTTGTCTCGAAACCTTGAACGTCTGCTACGAAAACGACGCGGGTGCACTATCACACAAAATACATACTACAATCCCAAGCTGAATTTTTGGAAGCGCGCAGTAGACCTGGTATCAGACAGAATCAGACAGAATCAGACAAGGCATGCCAAGGCTCCATAGTTGTTTCCGTTGGATGTCGGCAGCTTGCCAGTGCTCAGCGTGACGCCACCAGTGCTCCACGTGTAGGTGCGCCGCGTCGTGGCCACGTAGTCCCCGGTGCGGTAGAGGAACACGTTCTTGAGCTGTTTCGCATCGTCGCTGATCTCCACAATCGAGAAGTTGGTCCACGCCGCTGTAGCCGTGTTTGTCACTCCTGTCTCCCGAGTCGGGGGGCTGTTGCCCGTCATGCCTGGCCCAGCCCAGGCACCACCACCCAAAGAGCACTGCACGGCAGCGCAAGCGCCCGAGAGCTGGGCCTTGCCGTCCGAGATAAACTCGGTGCAGCCCAAGTCATTCTGAGTGGAAAGCTCCTCAACTGCGCTTGCCCCGGACCGCACCCACTTGTCAACGTACTCAAAGATGGGGTACCTCGCATGCCCGCACGGTCTCTGCAACATGGGCTTTCTAACATGGGCTGTCTAACATGGGCTTTCTAGCAACACAGGGCTCTAAGGCTTCAGTCCAAGGAAAGAGCCGCATCACTGACCTTAGACCTTGCCAGGAAACAGCTTGCACTCCCCGCTGAGGATTTCAAGCGACTCGGTGGCGCAATCTTGGATGTAAGGATGGTTGATGTAGCATGTTGCGCCGAAGAGGTTGCACACCTGGACATGGAAGGCCTTTCCTGTGGTGATGTTGGCAGCTCCGCTCGTGCAGCGGGTGATGTTGGGCTCCTGGGCTGCTGCCAACGACAGCAAAGCCAGCGCACGAAGGTACCGGGATGCCATGTTGAGCGACTTCAGATCCAAGACTAGCAGGAGCTTCGATCCAAAACTGTCGAGAAGAGAGCGGGCGACTCTATATAGCTAGTATCCGGCTAGTCTCCGACCCGTCTCGGGGAGGCGGGACGTGTGACCGCATTACTCCATTGGGGAGGCAAGTGCAGACGCCGTGAAGAATCTATGGGCCCCCTGCCTCGGCGTCTGCGACCTCGGAGAAGTCTCCTGGCGCGTGGGGCGCGTAGCTTTCGGAATGGGGGGTGAGGGCTGCGGGCTCTTCATGGTTCTTCAAGCCCTCGTTGTCTGCTGGATGGGCCACTGACGAAGCGCGGCTAAACCGAAGCTCCAACCCCCAATGCACCATGCCCGAAGCCCGACATCGAATCTGAGACGTTCCCCTTGCAAAGCGGCCTTCGCTCCTCCTGCATCCTCAGATAACTCGCCATTTCTTACCTGTGGCATTCTCTCAGCTTCGGTTCGGGGATTGCAGGACCTCTTCGCACCGAAACCACCCAAAGGCCCCAAGCTTCGAGTCACGACCCATTTTCGCAAGCACTTGATACCTGTGCCATGCCAGGCTAGACAGTCGGGGGGCAGTCAGCCCCACCTCCATACCAAACGACAAACAGACCCCTTGACAGAAAAAACGAGTTTGTCTCTTCAGCCTTGTCATGCAGACAATGCAGGCATGGAGGCAGGTCAGCGGCCCGACTGTGTTCGCGGTGTTGCATGGCACAGGGAGGTTTCGTTGACAGTCCAATCGAAACAAGTCGACAGTTATACGCACATCTGCGGAATCTTTAGTTCAGCAGCTGAGCTGACACTCAAAGGCTCAAAGGCCATGTTTGAGGAATCACTTCGCCGACTAAGGTGTCGCAACACAAAGATGACACAGGAGCTCTGAGAGAGCTCTGAGAAGATCGTACTTAAAAACTCTGCACGATGCATCGGTTCCCAGGGCGCTTTGCCCTGCTCAGCTTGAAAGGAGTCCGAAGCAAAGAAAGCTCCAGGCGAAGCTAGCCAAAGATGCCAAAGCTCGAAGACCACCCGACGTCGTGCCGTCTCCTGCTGTCCCTGATCCGCTCAGGCTGGAAGACGTGCCAAACTGCTCCTCCGGGTTGGGATCCGCGACGTAGAGCATCTTGCGGTTTGCCTCAGCACATTGGGTCAGGTCCGTTCGAGCATAGTCGTCGCAGTAGAAGACCACGCCGTAGCTCCGCCAGGTGCCTGCGACCTCACCCGTGAAATCGACCTTCGGCGTAAAGGTCCCGCTCGTGAGGAGCACGGCCGAGGACGCAGCGTCGCCAGAGTGAAGCATCACTGCCCGAGCGTCATCCATGCGATCACCTGACTGAAAGCCGCTCCTGCCGTCCAGGAAAGGAACAGCCGCCATGTTCTTGCTCGTCGTGGTGCCGGTGTCCCCACTGTAGGTTGCATAGAGGCTTGCGTCGTTCAGCAAGTTGACGGCGTTGTAGTACACCCACTTGCCGGTAGCACCGCACATCTTCAAGTCTGAAGCAGAGATGCTGGCGTCGCTGAGCAGCGTGTTTTGGGCTGGGCAGGCTACAGGTCCTAGGTCCAGAAAACAAAGAGCGCTCGGACGTCCAACTTGCTTGGTCAGGCTTCGTCCCTCTTTATCGTTCTTTATGTTTCTTTATCCTGCTTTGTCTCGAAACCTCGCACGTCTGCTACGAAAACGATGCAGATGCACTATCGCACAAAATGCATACTACAATCCCCAAGCTGGATTTTTGGAAGCGCGCAGTAGACCTGGCATCAGACAGAATCAGACAGAATCAGACAAGGCATGCCAAGGCTCCATAGTTGTTTCCGTTGGATGTCGGCAGCTTGCCAGTGCTCAGCGTGACGCCACCAGTGCTCCACGTGTAGGTGCGCCGCGTCGTGGCCACGTAGTCCCCGGTGCGGTAGAGGAACACGTTCTTGAGCTGTTTCGCATCGTCGCTGATCTCCACAATCGAGAAGTTGGTCCACGCCGCTGTAGCCGTGTTTGTCACTCCTGTCTCCCGAGTCGGGGGGCTGTTGCCCGTCATGCCTGGCCCAGCCCAGGCACCACCACCCAAAGAGCACTGCACGGCAGCGCAAGCGCCCGAGAGCTGGGCCTTGCCGTCCGAGATAAACTCGGTGCAGCCCAAGTCATTCTGAGTGGAAAGCTCCTCAACTGCGCTTGCCCCGGACCGCACCCACTTGTCAACGTACTCAAAGATGGGGTACCTCGCATGCCCGCACGGTCTCTGCAACATGGGCTTTCTAACATGGGCTGTCTAACATGGGCTTTCTAGCAACATGGGGCTCTAAGGCTTCAGTCCAAGGCAAGAGCCGCATCACTGACCTTAGACCTTGCCAGGAAACAGCTTGCACTCCCCGCTGAGGATTTCAAGCGACTCGGTGGCGCAATCTTGGATGTAAGGATGGTTGATGTAGCATGTTGCGCCGAAGAGGTTGCACACCTGGACATGGAAGGCCTTTCCTGTGGTGATGTTGGCAGCTCCGCTCGTGCAGCGGGTGATGTTGGGCTCCTGGGCTGCTGCCAACGACAGCAAAGCCAGCGCACGAAGGTACCGGGATGCCATGTTGAGCGACTTCAGATCCAAGACTAGCAGGAGCTTCGATCCAAAACTGTCGAGAAGAGAGCGGGCGACTCTATATAGCTAGTATCCGGCTAGTCTCCGACCCGTCTCGGGGAGGCGGGACGTGTGACCGCATTACTCCATTGGGGAGGCAAGCGCAAACGCCGTGAAGAATCTATGGGCCCCCTGCCTCGGCGTCTGCGACCTCGGAGAAGTCTCCTGGCGCGTGGGGCGCGTAGCTTTCGGAATGAGGGGCGAGGGCTACGGGCTCTTCATGGTTCTTCAAGCCCTCGTTGTCTGCTGGATGGGCCGCTGACGAAGCGCTAACCCGAAGCTCCAACCCCCAATGCACCATGCCCCAAGCCCGAAATCGAATCTGAGACGTTCCCCTTGCAAAGCGGCCTTCGCTCCTCCTGCATCCTCAGATAACTCGCCATTTCTTACCTGTGGCATTCTCTCAGCTTCGGTTCGGGGATTGCAGGACCTCTTCGCACCGAAACCACCCAAAGGCCCCAAGCTTCGAGTCACGACCCATTTTCGCAAGCACTTGATACCCGTGCCATGCCAGGCTAGACAGTCGGGGGGCAGTCAGCCCCACCTCCATACCAAACGACAAACAGACCCCTTGACAGAAAAAACGAGTTTGTCTCTTCAGCCTTGTCATGCAGACAATGCAGGCATGGAGGCAGGTCAGCGGCCCGACTGTGTTCGCGGTGTTGCATGGCACAGGGAGGTTTCGTTGACAGTCCAATCGAAACAAGTCGACAGTTATACGCACATCTGCGGAATCTTTAGTTCAGCAGCTTTGAGTGTCACTCAAAGGCTTAAAGGCCATGTTTGAGGAATCACTTCGCCGACTAAGGTGTCGCAACACAAAGATGACACACAGGAGCTCTGAGCGGAACGTACTTAAAACCTCTGCACGATGCATCGGTTCCCAGGGCCCTTTGCCCTGCTCAGCTTGAAAGGAGTCCGAAGCAAAGAAAGCTCCAGGCGAAGCTAGCCAAAGATGCCAAAGCTCGAAGACCACCCGACGTCGTGCCGTCTCCTGCTGTCCCTGATCCGCTAAGGCTGGAAGTCGTGCCAAACTGCTCCTCTGGGTTGGGATCCGCGACGTAGAGCATCTTGCGGTTTGCCTCAGCACATTGGGTCAGGTCCGTTCGAGCATAGTCGTCGCAGTAGAAGACCACGCCGTAGCTCCGCCAGGTGCCTGCGACCTCACCCGTGAAATCGACCTTCGGCGTAAAGGTCCCGCTCGTGAGGAGCACGGCCGAGGACGCAGCGTCGCCAGAGTGAAGCATCACTGCCCGAGCGTCATCCATGCGATCACCTGACTGAAAGCCGCTCCTGCCGTCCAGGAAAGGAACAGCCGCCATGTTCTTGCTCGTCGTGGTGCCGGTGTCCCCACTGTAGGTTGCATAGAGGCTTGCGTCGTTCAGCAAGTTGACGGCGTTGTAGTACACCCACTTGCCGGTAGCACCGCACATCTTCAAGTCTGAAGCAGAGATGCTGGCGTCGCTGAGCAGCGTGTTTTGGGCTGGGCAGGCTACAGGTCCTAGGTCCAGAAAAAAAAGAGCGCTCGGGCGTCCAACTTGCTTGGTCAGGCTTCGTCCCTCTTTATCGTTCTTTGAATTTCTTTATCCTGCTTTGTCTCGAAACCTCGCACGTCTGCTACGAAAACGATGCGGGTGCACCATCGCTACAGTCACTACAGTCACTGACAAATCCCCAAGCTGGATTTTTGGAAGCGCACAGTAGACCTGGCAGAATCAGACAAGGCATGCCAAGGCTCCATAGTTGTTTCCGTTGGATGTCGGCAGCTTGCCAGTGCTCAGCGTGACGCCACCAGTGCTCCACGTGTAGGTGCGCCGCGTCGTGGCCACGTAGTCCCCGGTGCGGTAGAGGAACACGTTCTTGAGCTGTTTCGCATCGTCGCTGATCTCCACAATCGAGAAGTTGGTCCACGCCGCTGTAGCCGTGTTTGTCACTCCTGTCTCCCGAGTCGGGGGGCTGTTGCCCGTCATGCCTGGCCCAGCCCAGGCACCACCACCCAAAGAGCACTGCACGGCAGCGCAAGCGCCCGAGAGCTGGGCCTTGCCGTCCGAGATAAACTCGGTGCAGCCCAAGTCATTCTGAGTGGAAAGCTCCTCAACTGCGCTTGCCCCGGACCGCACCCACTTGTCAACGTACTCAAAGATGGGGTACCTCGCATGCCCGCACGGTCTCTGCAACATGGGCTTTCTAACATGGGCTGTCTAACATGGGCTTTCTAGCAACATGGGGCTCTAAGGCTTCAGTCCAAGGCAAGAGCCGCATCACTGACCTTAGACCTTGCCAGGAAACAGCTTGCACTCCCCGCTGAGGATTTCAAGCGACTCGGTGGCGCAATCTTGGATGTAAGGATGGTTGATGTAGCATGTTGCGCCGAAGAGGTTGCACACCTGGACATGGAAGGCCTTTCCTGTGGTGATGTTGGCAGCTCCGCTCGTGCAGCGGGTGATGTTGGGCTCCTGGGCTGCTGCCAACGACAGCAAAGCCAGCGCACGAAGGTACCGGGATGCCATGTTGAGCGACTTCAGATCCAAGACTAGCAGGAGCTTCGATCCAAAACTGTCGAGAAGAGAGCGGGCGACTCTATATAGCTAGTATCCGGCTAGTCTCCGACCCGTCTCGGGGAGGCGGGACGTGTGACCGCATTACTCCATTGGGGAGGCAAGCGCAAACGCCGTGAAGAATCTATGGGCCCCCTGCCTCGGCGTCTGCGACCTCGGAGAAGTCTCCTGGCGCGTGGGGCGCGTAGCTTTCGGAATGAGGGGCGAGGGCTACGGGCTCTTCATGGTTCTTCAAGCCCTCGTTGTCTGCTGGATGGGCCGCTGACGAAGCGCTAGCCCGAAGCTCCAACCCCCAATGCACCATGCCCCAAGCCCGAAATCGAATCTGAGACGTTCCCCTTGCAAAGCGGCCTTCGCTCCTCCTGCATCCTCAGATAACTCGCCATTTCTTACCTGTGGCATTCTCTCAGCTTCGGTTCGGGGATTGCAGGACCTCTTCGCACCGAAACCACCCAAAGGCCCCAAGCTTCGAGTCACGACCCATTTTCGCAAGCACTTGATACCCGTGCCATGCCAGGCTAGACAGTCGGGGGGCAGTCAGCCCCACCTCCATACCAAACGACAAACAGACCCCTTGACAGAAAAAACGAGTTTGTCTCTTCAGCCTTGTCATGCAGACAATGCAGGCATGGAGGCAGGTCAGCGGCCCGACTGTGTTCGCGGTGTTGCATGGCACAGGGAGGTTTCGTTGACAGTCCAATCGAAACAAGTCGACAGTTATACGCACATCTGCGGAATCTTTAGTTCAGCAGCTTTGAGTGTCACTCAAAGGCTTAAAGGCCATGTTTGAGGAATCACTTCGCCGACTAAGGTGTCGCAACACAAAGATGACACACAGGAGCTCTGAGCGGAACGTACTTAAAACCTCTGCACGATGCATCGGTTCCCAGGGCGCTTTGCCCTGCTCAGCTTGAAAGGAGTCCGAAGCAAAGAAAGCTCCAGGCGAAGCTGGCCAAAGATGCCAAAGCTCGAAGACCACCCGACGTCGTGCCGTCTCCTGCTGTCCCTGATCCGCTCAGGCTGGAAGACGTGCCAAACTGCTCCTCCGGGTTGGGATCCGCCACGTAGAGCATCTTGCGGTTTGCCTCGGCACATTGGGTCAGGTCCGTTCGAGCATAGTCGTCGCAGTAGAAGACCACGCCGTAGCTCCGCCAGGTGCCTGCGACCTCACCCGTGAAATCGACCTTCGGCGTAAAGGTCCCGCTCGTGAGGAGCACGGCCGAGGACGCAGCGTCGCCAGAGTGAAGCATCACTGCCCGAGCGTCATCCATGCGATCACCTGACTGAAAGCCGCTCCTGCCGTCCAGGAAAGGAACAGCCGCCATGTTCTTGCTCGTCGTGGTGCCGGTGTCCCCACTGTAGGTTGCATAGAGGCTTGCGTCGTTCAGCAAGTTGACGGCGTTGTAGTACACCCACTTGCCGGTAGCACCGCACATCTTCAAGTCTGAAGCAGAGATGCTGGCGTCGCTGAGCAGCGTGTTTTGGGCTGGGCAGGCTACAGGTCCTAGGTCCAGAAAAAAAAGAGCGCTCGGGCGTCCAACTTGCTTGGTCAGGCTTCGTCCCTCTTTATCGTTCTTTGAATTTCTTTATCCTGCTTTGTCTCGAAACCTCGCACGTCTGCTACGAAAACGATGCGGGTGCACCATCGCTACAGTCACTACAGTCACTGACAAATCCCCAAGCTGGATTTTTGGAAGCGCACAGTAGACCTGGCAGAATCAGACAAGGCATGCCAAGGCTCCATAGTTGTTTCCGTTGGATGTCGGCAGCTTGCCAGTGCTCAGCGTGACGCCACCAGTGCTCCACGTGTAGGTGCGCCGCGTCGTGGCCACGTAGTCCCCGGTGCGGTAGAGGAACACGTTCTTGAGCTGTTTCGCATCGTCGCTGATCTCCACAATCGAGAAGTTGGTCCACGCCGCTGTAGCCGTGTTTGTCACTCCTGTCTCCCGAGTCGGGGGGCTGTTGCCCGTCATGCCTGGCCCAGCCCAGGCACCACCACCCAAAGAGCACTGCACGGCAGCGCAAGCGCCCGAGAGCTGGGCCTTGCCGTCCGAGATAAACTCGGTGCAGCCCAAGTCATTCTGAGTGGAAAGCTCCTCAACTGCGCTTGCCCCGGACCGCACCCACTTGTCAACGTACTCAAAGATGGGGTACCTCGCATGCCCGCACGGTCTCTGCAACATGGGCTTTCTAACATGGGCTGTCTAACATGGGCTTTCTAGCAACACAGGGCTCTAAGGCTTCAGTCCAAGGCAAGAGCCGCATCACTGACCTTAGACCTTGCCAGGAAACAGCTTGCACTCCCCGCTGAGGATTTCAAGCGACTCGGTGGCGCAATCTTGGATGTACGGATGGTTGATGTAGCATGTTGCGCCGAAGAGGTTGCACACCTGGACATGGAAGGCCTTTCCTGTGGTGATGTTGGCAGCTCCGCTCGTGCAGCGGGTGATGTTGGGCTCCTGGGCTGCTGCCAACGACAGCAAAGCCAGCGCACGAAGGTACCGGGATGCCATGTTGAGCGACTTCAGATCCAAGACTAGCAGGAGCTTCGATCCAAAACTGTCGAGAAGAGAGCGGGCGACTCTATATAGCTAGTATCCGGCTAGTCTCCGACCCGTCTCGGGGAGGCGGGACGTGCGACCGCATTACTCCATTGGGGAGGCAAGCGCAGACGCCGTGAAGACTCTATGGGCCCCCTGCCTCGGCGTCTGCGACCTCGGAGAAGTCTCCTGGCACGTGGGGCGCGTAGCTTTCGGAATGAGGGGTGAGGGCTGCGGATTCTTCATGGTTCTTCAAGCCCTCGTTGTCTGCTGGATGGGCCACTGACGAAGCGCTAAACCGAAGCTCCAACCCCCAATGCACCATGCCCCAAGCCCGAAATCGAATCTGAGACGTTCCCACGCAAAGCGGTCTTCGCTCCTCCTGCATCCTCAGATAACTCGCCATTTCTTACCTGTGGCATTCTCTCCCGTGAAGGGTAGCTTGTAGAGTCCCGTCTGTCTGTAACTTAGGCGTAAGCCCGTAACCCTAAGGCTGAAGGCTTGAACCCTAGAAACCCCTACAGGCAAGGAAGACTGGAACCCGGACTCCCCAACCCTAAGCCCCTAAACCCAAACCCCCCCCCCCCCCCCCCCCCCCCCCCCCCGGCCCACCCTTACAGTAGCGCCTCAGCACATGGCTTGCAGGAGGAAGCCTCAAACCCATCCTGGGGGGGGGCAACCTCGTACCTGGGCTGTGGCTAAGATGTCTGGCAGGCAGGGCTCTGTCAGTGCAGGATTTGGGGATCGAGGGGGTCTACAGTCATTTCGATCCTGCGTCTAAGAGTCCCAAGCACTGCGCGCAAAGCAGAGTCTCCCAAGAGCCCGGCTGCGCCCTCGAAGGCACGTCCGAACAAATGATCGATCGTGAAGGTCGTGAACCGCACAGTTCGTACTTAGAACTGCACCTTGTTGCAGAGTTTGTGCGGAACTCCAGAGTCCTGAATGCTTCTTCGAGGCGAATCCCATGCTTCTCTGTCCTCGACTCTCCTGTGCTCATTGCTCACCCCCTAGCGCTTCGAATCTGGCAACGTGCCTACAGGGGCTCGAGCCCGAAGTCGCGCGAAGGCTCGCTGCATTTGAGTGACTTCGGGCAGGAGGCTCTTCGGGTAAGGGTTCAGGGGGCAAGGCCAAAACGCGCAGACATGAAAGCTCTCGAGCTACCCCCATCTTTTCATGAGGCATTAGCTAGTCACCTGGCAAAGCCCGACTCGGGTCCAGCGAAGCGACCTGCAGGAAAGCAGGTCTTGGGCGCACTTGGGCGCTACAGGGTTCCTGCGGGGCCAGATGGGGCCCCAGGCCAGACTGCCACGATAGAAGGCTTGGGAGGCTTTCGAGTAGCTTTCACTTCTAACACTAACCCCGGGTAGACCCAGGGACGGCCCTGAAAAACTTAATCCCAAGAACATCTGAAGCCCAAAAGTCCCGAACATCCCAAGTCCCAACCTGAACCATACCTCCCACCACCTCCCGATGTCCACAAATCACAGGAACCTAGCAGACTGGGAAGGAACAGAACTGCTAGCGGTTCTGTTGGCATCTGAAGACCTCTCGGTTTAGGGTTCTTAGGGTTTAGGGTTTAGGGTTTAGGGTTTAGGGTTTAGGGTTTAGGGTTTAGGGTTTAGGGTTTAGGGTTTAGGGTTTAGGGTTTAGGGTTTAGGGTTTAGGGTTTAGGGTTTAGGGTTTAGGGCGGGCTAGTTTAGGGTTTGACCCCTCGACAACTAAGCCCTGCAACTCCAGTTGACTCCAGGAACGAACCCGATCGGCACCTCGCACGCGAGGGGCCAGCCTGGCGGGAGGCAGGCTGTTGGGGGGTTTCCGAAATTCGGGGTGCCTTATTGGGGGCCCGTGTCATGAGGGAATCCTACTATTTGGGCGTCTTTTTTGGGGGCTCTATTATTTTCGTAAACCCCCCCATGTTGAGGCTTTGGATGGTGAAGAGCCCTCCAAATCAACATCAGACCCTGTGCTTTCCAGAGGGCAAGTGGCTGCTTCTGGCTCATCCATTCTGAACTCTCTCTCTCTCTCTCTCTCTCTCTCTCTCTCTCTCTCTCTCTCTCTCTCCTGCACGCATAGCCCCCCCCGAAAGGAAGGCCGCCCCGAGGGGCGCGTGATGTCCGAGGGTCCGTCTGATCGGAAGGCCCGCGGTTTTCGCGGTCCGATAAAAATATCACAGGAATGTGGTGCCCCTCATGTCAACCGAAGAACGAGCTCCAAGGGACCTGAAACCTTCAAGTCAAACCCCCCCCTTCACCCCTATTGTTGAGGTTTCCCACTCTGTACTTCCTGTGTCGTCTACTGTACGTGCCTGGCGCCGGGGGTTGTGGCTTTCCTCGATGTAAACCGGGAGTACAGGACAGGACAAGGGTGTTATTCCATGCCTATCACATTTGAGGTCCCCCACTCTGTGCCCCCCTTTATGGCCGGCGTTGTTGCATTACTCTAATCGCTGCTCGCCCCCTCATGTGTTCTTCTTCTTCTCGAGTCGTGATCTTGTAGAGGGGAATCGCGGCGTTGTAGTGCCCCATATGCCCTCGTTCTCTTTTCTTCTGACGTGTTACTTCTCGGTGAGGAGAATTCCTCTGTAGGTTCGCCTTGCCCTTGCCCTCCAGGACTGGTGTGGTGGTGGTGTGATGGTGGGTGCGGTGGGTGTTGTGCATCGTCGGTGGTGTTGGTGTGTGGTTCGAGTGGTGGGGGGTGCCAGGGGAGGGTGTTCGGTGTGGGTATTTCGTCCGGGGTGTCTCCCCCTGTTTGTGTGTCAATAAGGTAGATGGGCTCCCCCCATCTGTGGGTTAGCCATTCATCGAGTGCTTGCATGGCTTGGGTGGCCATGACCGCCTCTTGCTGGATCAGGAATGGGACCAGCTGTGCGAGTATCTGGCGTGCTCGGACGATGTGCTCATCGTGGGTTAGTGGTGGTGGTTGTTGTGGTCTGTTTGTGTTGTCTTCCACCCCTCCTCTGCTAAGTTTCAGGACATCTGCTGGGTGGGTGGCTTGTTGCTGTGCTGGTGTTGTGTGGGTGGTGGACGCGTGTGGTGGCGTGGGGTCCCCTTGAGGGTTTGCGTGGGGTTGGGTTGGTGGCTGGGACCACTGGGGTGCTTCGACGACGGCTTGGTGTGCATCTCGTGCCTGTTGTGTATGGGTGAGTATTTCCCTGAACTCTCTCTCTCTCTCTCTCTTCGTAACCAACTACTAAACCCTAAACCCTAAACCATCAAAACCCTGAACCCTTCTCTCCCAAAAACCATTGCAAGCCCTTCGGCGCCTTTGACGCCGCGGACGAGGATGGCCCGGGCATTGCCCTCGGGCTCCTCGACCCTTCAGTTGGTGGTGGTGGGAAGTGGCGGGCTTTTAAAGGTTCTGCCTTTTCGAGGTTTTGAGGCTCGAGGTGCAATCTGGGGCCTGGGGGGAATACCAGGCTTGGATGCCAAGGGGTCCTGGGGTTGTGGATTCGGATTGCAGGAGCAGTTTCTGCCAGACACCACTAAAACAGTCACCCTCAAGCAAGCCCTGAACTCCGAGTGCTGCACCTGCGGTACTCCACAAACTCGCCCTGCGTGAGGTACCTGGAACGAATGCCAGAACCCCAAACCCTAAACCCTAAACACTGAACCCTAAACCCTTGAATGTGGCGGGATGCGGAGGATGTCGGTAGCACGTTGAATGGACTGCTCGAAAGCATTCCAGTCTGATTTCAAGCTCCACTGTGGTATTAGGGTTCAGGGCTCCAGAACTCATGATGCGCACAGTGAGGGTTTAGGGTTTAGGGTTTAGGGTTTAGGGTTTAGGGTTTAGGGTTTAGGGTTTAGGGTTTAGGGTTTAGGGTTTAGGGTTTAGGGTTTAGGGCATAACATGGTTTCCCATTCATTCAGGTTGGGCGACTCTGGGATGTGGGAGTTGAGCCGTGGGCATGGGCTACATCAAAGCAGCAAGAAGGGTTTAGGGTTTAGGGTTTGGGGTTTGGGGTTTGGGGTTTGGGGTTTAGGGTTTAGGGTTTAGGGTTTAGGGTTTAGGGTTTAGGGTTTTCGAGCGAAGGCACTTCGAGGCCATGTCAAATTTTGTAACCCCATAGCTGCCAAGGAGCTTTGATTGTGGATGCACATTCGCGCCCGTCGTCAAGGCAGCGGAGACCACATTGACAGCAGCCTTGTCGGTGTAGTCAACGACTTGACCACACCTCCCAGATCACAAGCGATGCTGAGCTTGGCGGCTTTTTGAGGCAACAAGAGCAGACAGCGCAGAAACCACAAGAGTACGATGAACAGCAAGGGGATCCTGACACTGACCCTGCCAAAGCACATGTTGCAAACTCGATGAATTCCCGTAGACGCCTTACTTCCCCGATGCTTGGCTCAGTTTGCATTTCATGATTTTGGCGCAAGGCATGCACTACACTGTCCTGCGTCATGCAGCCCGGTCCAGTGCTCGAGGATTGAGGATCACGTAATGAGCAGCTGCGTATCTGTTGAGCTCTTCTTGCCCGAACCCATTCTGACCCAGCCCAACCTGCCTAAACGAACCCACGGCATCTACACTTCCAGCGTCTGAACCCCCAAGCCCTGCGTTTAAGCTTCGCACCTCCTACTAGGCATCCCCTCCTCATACAGCGCACAGACGGATGAGGAACCTAACTCAGCTTCTGGATCCCAAAAAACCCTGAAGCCCCTGGAAGCCTTATGCCTAGAAGTGTGTGTTCCTCGGCTCCCCCTGAGGAGAGGGCCCATGCACCCGATCCCACCATTGGCACCATGCCTTGGGCCCCCTAAAACCCCAAAAGGGTCCAGGGCTTTGGATGGGTCAACGAAGAAGAGGTACGAGCACTGGCCCTGCACCCTCCATGAGCCTGGCTTGGGTAACCTCGCAAAGATCTGGTCTATCGGATTCCAATTTTGAAACCATGGCTCGCGAGGCAAGGTTTTCCGGGAGGGAGTTGGAGTCAGGGCCTTCGAGGCTCAGGGCTTCTGGGGTGTTCAAATTTCGGCCTCCAGGTTATATAGGGTTTAGGGTTTAGGGTTTAGGGTATGGGGCTTCGGGCTTCGGGCGCGCGATGTGCGCGACAAGAGGGCAGGAATGCGATCACGAGTGGAAGGAGCAAGGCCTGCCCGCACCCCACTGCGAACCCAACTGGACCACTTACACCTCCCAGGTTGCACGAGGGGGCCAAGAAACCTTAAGCCACAACGCAAACTCAACAAAACCCTGGACACACAGGGGTCCCTGGCGACCCGTGCGGGTCCCAACTCACCTACCATCTGCATCTCCTCCTGGCCAGGAGGTCTGGGTTAAAGGGCTTGGGGGGCAAACCGGAGAAGGGATAACCCTAAAACCCTGAAACCCGAGCACAAAAACCCTAAAACCCTAAAAACCTAAACACCTAAAACCCTAAAACCCTAAAACCCTAAACCCTAAACCCCCTAACCCCAACGAGGGATCCTGGTAGGGCTCCACGTGCCAGGCCGCAAATTCAGGGCCATCCCGAGCAGGACCCAGCACCTGAGGTGCTTTTGGGGAGTTTTGGAGTTTTGGGGTTTTGGGGGTTTGGGGACTTTGGGGGTTTTGGGGTTTTTAGGGTCTGGGGTTTTGGGGTTTGGGGGTTTTGGGGTTTCGGGGTTTGGGGGTTTGAGGGTTTGGGGCACCGGCCGTATCACACTTACAAGAGTTGAACAACCGAAGTGTTCTACAAACAAATGCACATGAGCTTTCTCTAGGGGCAGAAGAATCCGAGAAGCACACGGAACTCCCTAAACTCTCAAAACCCGAACCCTACACCCTAAACCCCAAAACCCCAAAACCTAAACCCGAAAACTAAACCCTAAACCCCTAAACCCCTAAACCCCTAAACCCCTAAACCCCTAAACCCCTAAACCCCTAAACCCCTAAACCCCTAAACCCCTAAACCCCTAAACCCTAAACCCTAAACCCGAAACCCTCCACCCCACAAGCCCAAGAGCCCAAAACCCGACCTCGGGGAAGCGGACCGCCAGCGACTCGTGAGTCGGCTCCTGGTATCCACTTCCGGGGGGTTGCTTTTTTCAGAGGGTGGTGGCAGGCTCGGAAACCGCAAGCAGACACCCTAAACCCTAAACCCTAAACCCTAAACCCTATAAATCTGAACCCCCAAGTCCCTAACCCCCCCCCCCCCCCCTCGCTCCCGCCTCGAGCTTGTCGTTGAGGTACTGACACTTGGTCTCGGTCGGAGCATCCTCCCGGCTTGGGAAGCGCTCTGTTTCGATTGCGCACTTCTTTTTTGGGGAAACCTCCCATTCAGGTAGAAGGGAGCTGAAGACTCCCGCCCCCACCAAACCCTAAACCCTAAACCCTCAACCCTAAACCCCTAAACCCGAATCCCCTTATTCCCCTAAACCCCTAAACCCTACCTTTAAAAGGGGCTTCGGGGCTTTGGATCTCAAGGCAAAGCTCCCTCCACCCCCGCCTTCAACAGCTGATTCAGGTCTTCCAGGTACTGCTCTTTCTGGCCTTTCACTTAGGGTTTAGGGTTTAGGGTTTAGGGTTTAGCGTTGAGGGTTTAGGGTTTAGGGTTTAGGGTTTAGGGTTTAGGGTTTAGGGTTTGGGGTTTGGGGTTTGGGGTTTGGGGTTTGGGGTTTAGGGTTTAGGGTTTAGGGTTTAGGGTTTTTAGGGTTTAGGGTTTAGGGTTTAGGGTTTAGGGTTTAGGGTTTAGGGGTAGGGAATAAGAGAATGAGGTACCCTATATACTCCCGTAAAGGGTATAAAGAAGGGGGATAGAGGGTACCTCATTCTCTCATTCCGTACTAACCAACAGTAAGTTCACACTTCAACTCTGGAGGGGGTGAAGGGACCGGGTTTACGAACATCCGGTCGCGGAATCGCACAGCGGCGGCACCTGTTGGAGCTCAAACGCGCAATCGAAAGCCCTAGGGGGACCTGGATATAGACCCTCTGAATAAGGTCCCTGTTTAAGAGAGCCAGAAAGGGTCAAGAAGGGGTAGCCTTTGAAGGGTTTTTTCTTATAGCAACATCCGAGCCTTCTTGCATCACAAACCCCCGGTCTTCAACACCCAGTGCTAGCAGGGTCGGAAGGGCGGAGGGCCCAGGATCTCTGAGTGGGGAAGCCACAAATTCCCAGGCTGCGGAAATTCTCCAAGGGGGGGGGGGGGCTCGGAATTGCCAAGGCCACGGCTGCCATAGATTGCGGCGCCCTCCTGGCATCGCGCGAACCGGGCCATGCAAGCCCTGATCTAGAACCCGAGAGGTGACTGGATCCTAAATGATCCACAAACCCTAAACCCCAAACCTTGGCCCTTATCCTAAATATGATTGTTTAGGCTGAATATGATCCTCTTAGTCTTAAACCCAGTAAGGGAAAATACAAAACATCCCAAGGGCCTACCTAGTAGACCTTCGAGGGATCCTGAGCAAGATCCATTGCTTGGCACAGCCTCCACCACGTAGCCCATGAGTTTCTGCCGCCGCTCGATGAAGCGCCGCTGCTTTCGCTGATCGTCCTCCTCCTGGGAGCTCCGAGGCTTTAGAGAGGGGTTTGGGGTTTGGGGTTTGGGGTTTGGGGTTTAGGGTTTAGGGTTTAGGAACGCGACTTATACCCTAAAAACCCTAAACCCTAACCCCAAAAACGTTCTGGGTTTGTGTTGGCCTTGTGCCGCTTGTGGGGTGCATCCGGCTCTTTGCGCAGGGGCGACTCGGGCAGTGCAGCCCTAAACCCTGGAGCCCTAAACTTTCCACCCGGAGGGACAAAGTTGACCTTTTGAGAGTCAGGGGATTTCTAGCACCCTCCCATATACAGCAACCCTAAACCCTAAACCCTAAACCCCAAAAAAACCCCCTATAAAAGTTTAGTGAACCAACCCAAAGCAAGCCCCTGGCGAACCCTGCACTCAGGCTCCGGCGTCAACCAGCTCGCTTGGGGCGCCCTGAGGGGGGTTGGATGTTGGAGATGATCTGGGAGAGGATAAGGGAGCATGTAGGATCAACCTTTTAGTCCCCAAAACCCGCGCAAAACCCCCCCCAAAAGCCCAAACCCCCAAATTCCCCAAAAACCCTCAGAACCCCAAAGCCCCCCCCCCCCCCAAAAAAAAGCCTCAAAAAAAAGGCCCCGTGGGTCGAGCCTCGGCCCCAGGTTGCGGGAAGTTGCCGGAGCTGGGGAGCTCAGGCGGTGTGCTCTCGTCCTCCGATTGATGAATCGAGCTTGCGGGGTTTAGGGGTTCAGGGTTGAGGGGATTTATTGTCTTTTGGGGGGCTGAATGAGTATTTTTGGGGCTTGAGAGGCTCAGTCAGTGGATTAGGGATTTAGGGGTTCGGGGCTTTGAGTTTGGGGGTGCAAGCGCCTGGGGCAAAGCCTCCGTGCCACGAAACCTTGCTGCTAGATGGGGGGCCTCATCGAAATCGTCCGGCCCATCCTTAAAAGGAGCTGTATTTGGGTTTAGGTTTTAGGGTTTAGGGTGTAGGGTTTGCGGTTTGGGGTTTGGGGTTTGGGATTGGGATTTGGGTTTTTGGGGGTTTGGGGTTTGTGGTTTGGGGTTCTGAGGTTTCTGATCTCGCCACATGTCTACAGAGAGCTCGTCGCTACGGCGGACGTAGGGCCGCGGCAACCAGGGCTTGGCCAAGGCCGATCTCATACTCCTCCTGGCAGACAACCCCGACTGAGTTTTAGGGTTTAGGGTTTAGGGTTTAGGGTTTGGGGTTTAGGGTTTAGGGTTTAGGGTTTAGGATTTAGGGTTTAGGGCTTAGGGCTTAGGGCTTATGGGTTCTGGAAAGACATGAATGAAATCGATGAGTGGCAAAACAGAGACACGATCTGTCGTGCATTCAAACTCCCATTTCCTTCAATCTAGGATGTGAAGGAAATGGGCTCAGAGGTGAAGAGTCTGCATCAATTGTGAGCCGTTCAAGCTGTAAAAACCTAGGCCATCTGGAACTGTTGCTGCTTGCAGTGCAATGGTTGGCTTTTCTTACCATGTGCTGACAGCAGCGAGCAGGCAAGACGTTGGATCAGTGTTTAAGTCCAACGTGCGGACTTGTGCCAAACCACATCCTGAATCGTGCAAGTCATCAGAAGCCGCCCCTAAGCCAGGACACCATCATAAACCTACCATAAACATAAACCCCGAATAGACTCAGCCGACTCCTGTGGAAACAGAACCAGCAGCAGCCCCGGAAACAGCTGCCCAAACCCCCCCCCCACCCCCAACCTGGGAAGCGTCTGGGCGGCTGCGAACTTTGGCGTCCGCCTGACGCAGGGAAGTGCTCGGAGTTGAGAAGCTTGCGTGCACCGGGGTACTCCGGGCGTGGAACGCGCAACGCGAAGCCCTAAGCTCCCAAATCAGAAGCACCCGATGCCCGCGCGCCATGATAGTGCTGCCGTCGAAGATTGTCGGCTCCGACTTCAGACTTGGTGAACATACAACCAAAAAAGAAACACACACACACACACACACATACAGAATCAGCCCAGAGTCCCCAAAACCTGCAACCCAAAGCAACGCCTAACGCAAACCACGCAGCGAACCTCGAAAATCGCCTCCACCGCTGCCGGGCGTCCACTTCGGGAGGCCTCATTGGGTTTAGGGTTTAGGGTTTAGGGTTTAGGGTTTAGGGTTTAGGGTTTAGGGTTTAGGGTTTAGGGTTTAGGGTTTAGGGTTTAGGGTTTAGGGTTTAGGGGCTCCGAAATCATCCGGACTCCTATCATGGAAGTGACCTACCAGGGGGCCATGAAGTGTCGAGGGTCAGAGGATCGGAGGTTGTGGTTAGGATCTCGGATCTTGGTGATGAGGGTTTCGGGTTTGCGGGGTTTGGGGGGGTGGCGGAGTGGAAGGGAAAGGTGCCGGATTTTGGGGGGATTGGTGCCGGTGAGATGCTTGTTGCTGGTGTCATTGTGGGCCCACCGTACTGTTCCACGCCGTTCCTTCAGTTTAGGGTTTATACAATTCGGGTTTGGGAATTTTAGGGTGTTCATAACTCATTGATACAATGCTGCTTGCATGGCCAGTGTTTGCTACCTGTAGCTGACGGGAAGTTGCTCGGACATGGTAGCGATCCCGAGCCCCGCGGGCTCCGAGCCCTGGCACCCTTCCGCCGGCCTCCCCACAGACACTGCAGTTGAGGGTTCCAGGGCTTATATAGGATGTAGGGTTCAAGGGTTTAGGGTTTAGGGTTTAGGGTTCGAGGGTTTAGGGTTCGAGGGTTGAGGGTGCCTATTTACCTTTGTGGAGGGTTGCTCTTGGCAGGAGCTGCAGGTGGCGCAGTTGAGCAACAAGGATCTCGGTCTTCACGCCAGTGAGAGCTGGATAGGTGGGCGTTTCCGAAATTAAGGCGCCTGGGGCAGCTTGAGGAGGCTCAACCTCCTCGGCATCCATCACCTTCCCAAAAGGAACAGGCTCCGCGTCAGGCGCGGCTCGTGGGGCTTCTTTCGGTTAAGGATTGCGTCACGGCACATGCACCCATAAAATTTCCTAAGCCCCCAAAGTGGAGATTCGTAGTTGAGGGTTCGGAGGGTTGTTGGGACAAAGATCGAAACTATGCGGGGGAAGCAAGTGGCTGTGCAGACTCTATGGCCCCTTAAGCCTCAGCGTCTGCGACCTCGGGGAAGTCTCCTGGTGCGTGGCGCGTAGGTTCTGGAACGAGGGCTGAGGGCTGCGGTTCTTCAAGCCCTCTTTGTATGATGGATTGGCCACTGATGAGTGTCCTTTACGTTGAGGATCGGACGTGCGAAGCGCTAACCGAAGCTCCAACCCCCAATGCACCATGCCCGAAGCCCGAAATCGAATCTGAGACGTTCCCGCACAAAGCGATCTTCGCTCCTCCTGCATCCTCAGCGAACTCGGCATTTTTGACCTCTGGCATTCTCTCAGCTTCGGTTCGGGGATGGGGGGTGAGCGGGCCCTCTTCTCTTCGCTCAAGCAATCGGGGCCTAGCTGGGTTTAGGATTTAGGGTTCAGGGTTTAGGGTTTAGGGTTTAGGGTTCAGGGTTAAGATGGGTGTAGAAAATGGGTTTAGGGTATACAAAGGCTTTCGGGTTCGGGGATGTGACGGTAGCCGGCCTCTTCCATCACCTTGGCCACCTCCGCGGGGCGACGGCGCCGAGACTTCGTCTGGCACGCAGTGCAGGGTCTCGGGTTTAGGGTTTAGGGTTTCGGGTTTCGGGTTTCGGGTTTCGGGTTTCGGGTTTCGGGTTTCGGGTTTAGGGTTTAGAGTTTAGGGTTTAGGGTTTCGAGTTTAGGGTTTCGGGTTTAGGCTTTGGTTTAGGGGTTCAGGGGTCTGTGTGTGGCTCCCGGCGGGTTGAGGGTTTCATGTTTAGGGTTGCCGAAGGTGAGGGTTTGGGATCTAAGGCTTTCCGGAGGGGTTCCCTCAAGCCCTAACCCTAAACCCTAAACCCTAAACCCTAAACCCTAGACCCTAAACCCTAAACCCTAAATCGGACGAGGGCTTTGGATTTCCAAGGGTTCACGGCTCAGACTTGGGGGCTTCGAGGTTCCCTCCTCACAGGCCTCCGTGGCTTGGGCTGAGGGCACGCTGCCTGGCAGTGACATCGGATTTCAACGCATGGTCACTTCTCTACATTATGGTCCCTTTTAAGGTTTAGGTTCAGGGTTTAGGGCTTAGGGTTTAGGACTGTTCTTCTCGTATAAAGCGTCCCCGAATAGTTAGGATGCCCAAAATGGGACCACCATTTTGAGAACTGACCACATGGTAGTTGCTCAGAATACATGTCCTCAAAGCAACCATAGGGTCTAGGCTCCTTTTCTAAGAAGGACTCGGCTCCTCTCTTTTGGGGGCCCATCCCTTTCAAAGGACGGCTTAGGGTTTTGGCGGAAGAAACTGACGACCACGGTGACTCGGAACTAGGCACATTTTCGAAGTGCCCAATCGTGGGAAGGATTTTTTTGGAGTAGTGCAGATGATGTAGATGATGTATTGACATACAACATGGGAGCACTAAACCCTAAACTGCACATCAATGGGGTACTTTAGGCTTCTGCGCTACGCCGTTGTGCCTCCAAATACCTCTCACTAAGCAGGGCTTTCAGCCTAGAAATTCTACAGTTTCGGGTGCAGGGTTTAAGGGTGCTCTTAAAGGCTTTATCGCCTGAGTGCTTGTGGTTGTTGTTGGCTGGGTCCCTCTCCCAGCATTGCGCTACAGCCACCTGACAAACTTCGAATGCTCATTTCAAGCCCCCCAAAACCGAAACCCTGAACACTAAACCCGAAACAAAGCCTACGAACCCTTAACCCCAAACCCTAAACCCTAAACCCTAAACCCTAAACCCTAAACCCTAAACCCTAAACCCTAGACCCTAGACCCTAGACCCTAGACCCCAAACCCAAGACCCTATATAAACCCTAAACCCTAGACCCTAACCCCTAAACCCTGAACCCTAAACCCTAAACCCCAAATGCCCCCCAAACCCTCGGCCTGCACGCTTGGCGTGGAGGACCTTGGACAGCTCACCGGCTTTGGCCGCGATGCGCTCGGCCAGCGATGCCTGGGGGCTTAGGGGGGGGCTTAGGGTTTCGGGTTTAAGGGTTTAGGGTTTCGGGTTTAGGGGTTTAGGGTGAAGGGTTAGGGCTTAGGGTCTAGGGTCCGTAGGGTTTAGGGTTCAGGGTTCAGTGTGCAGGGTTCAGGGTTTAGGTTGATGGGCTGAGGGTGGTCAGGGCTTCGGGCCAAGTGCGAGTACGGGGCTTAAGTCTGGGAAGATCTCCTTTGCCCTAAGCAATTGCAGGCAGCAGCTGCACCTGCACATCAATGCGATTAAACATCTCAAGTCCCTTCGCTGAAGGCTGCCCTAGTGGTGCTCCGTCGAGCAGAATCCCGAAAGACTCTCGGGATTCGGCCTTGGTGCCACTGATGGGCATCTGGAGCGCCTTGCAGAAGTCCTTCCTTGGCCAAGCCAATGCTCAAGGTCACATGGGCGGTGTAGGGTTTAGGGTTTAGGGTTTAGGGTTCAGGGTTGAGGGCCTGAAGGATTTTCGGGCCTCGGGCTGTAGACGATCAGGAATCTGGAGAATGGAGCCCGCCCCCACCACCCAAAATTCCCACCAAACTCACCCTCTCTCAAGAAAGCTCAGCTGAATGCCAATCCGCCTTGTCTCCCAGACCCAAACCAAACGAATAACCATTGTAGCTTTGTTTACATTACGCGCCCTGGCTCGCGCAAGCTGCACATAAAGAACACAAGGCCCCGAGCTCGGCTTTGCAGGACCTAGACCTTTACCAAGCCTGACCTCCAGGTGCACACCGCCGGCTGACAATGGCGACACGGAAAATTCACAGGCATGTGCATGCTTTTGCATGGGCAATGCGGGGGGGGGGGGGCCTGCTCTGAACTCAAAAGCCCCCAACAACGCCCCAAGCCTCTAGGCTGAAAAACAAGGGAGCTGATCCCGTGAATGAGAGAATCCAGGCCCGATAATATACCCCCCTAAGGGATTATATAGGGTACCTCATTCCCTCATTCCCTGCTAAGAACCAACCAGATGACCAGATGAATTTGAGGCAGGCGGGGGTCAGGTCCACTGCGCGGTATTTGTCCACAAGAAAGCCCATGGCGCGTTCCGCATCAGATTGGTTTCCCAAGACCTGCATGTCGTCGGGGGGTTTAGGGTTTAGGCTTTAGGGTTTAGGGTTTAGGGTTTAGGGTTTAGGGTTTAGGGTTTAGGGTTTAGGGTACTGTGCGGGCGGACTGTCGGATATCAGGCCGCAGGTGCTTTCTTTTCTTTTCGCACTGTCTCCCTCTCCTCCTCCTCCTCCTCCTCCTCCTCCTCCTCCTCCTCCTCCTCCGCCCTCCTCCTCCCTCCTCCTCCTCCTCCTCCTCCTCCTCCTCCTCCTCCTCCTCCTCCTCCTCCTCCTCCTCCTCCTCCTCCTCCTCCTCCTCCTCCTCCCTCTCCTCCTCCTCTTCTTCTTTTCCTTCTTCTTCCCTTCTTCTGCGCGCTTTGAGGCCCCCCGGCTGCGGGTGCCTGGCCTCGACGGCCAAGCGAGTTCGAGCGCGGTCAGTGGGAGCCCCGTTTTTGAGTTTTTGATTGTTCTTTTCTCTCTCTCACTCACTCACTCACTCACTCTCTCTGTCTCTCTCTCTCTCTCTCTCCGCACGCTTGGCCCCCCCGAAGGGGAGCCGCCCCAAGGGGCGCGCGATGTCCTGGGTCTGTTGGTCCCCCTTCTTATGAAGGAAGAGAAGAAGTAGACACGCCCATCTTGTACTCTCTCTCTCTCTCTCTCTCTCTCTCTCTCTCTCTCTCTCTCTCTCTCTCTCTCTCTCCTCTCTCTCTGTCTCTTGAGGAGCGTAAGCACCCGCCGTGCGCAGGGCGGCCCTTGTTGATCTCCGGAAAAGAATTCTCCCTCTTGTTTGCTTGTGTAACCTCTCTTTCTCTCTCTGTCCCTGCCTGCGCCCACCTCCACCTGCTGGGGGGTTTCTGAAAAGACCTACTTTCTAATAGTTTTGGCTTGGGATGTTCCCCCGATACTAACGGTCCTTAATCCCTACTAATTGGTGTAAGGGGGAACATCCCAAGTTTTTGCGCTTCACGCAGGAAAAAGAGGGCTTGCTGTGGCGAGGGCAAAAGTTTTCGAGACGGTCCGGCACATCGCGTTGTAGAGAGACGAAGATTTCAAGTAAACTCTGCACTGTAGGCCCAAGGGGAAGCCCCCAGACCCCAAAACCCCGGGCGTCCTCGATGATTCGCAGGACGGGGCTGTCTTCTGCGTAGAACTTGTCCTCTTCGAGCAGCGCTTCCTCCCAAAGGGCAAGAGTTGAGGATTTCAGAAGTTTGCAGTGCGCTGCAGGACTCATTAGGAGTTTATGGGCTTTAGGGATGAGGGTCATGGGGAACAGCCAACCCGAGAAAAAATATAATCATAATAATAATAACAGTAATAATAATGATGATAATAACAATAATAATATTAATAGCAATAAAAATATAATCATAATAATAATAATAATCAAACAATTAAGAGCCCACTCCACCCACTCCTCGATGCGCTCCCGTAGCTCGTCCTCAGAGCCGCCACTTCGTTTCAGCCCCAAACCGGCGCAGATCGCCTTCAGCCCTGGCACGGAGGGCACGATGTTTCGGAGTTTCGGGTTTGGGGTTTGGGGTTTAGGGTTTAGGGTTTAGGGTCTAGGGTTTGGGGTTTAGGGTTTAGGGTTTAGGGTTTGGCCAGCTCCCAATGCCGATGGAGAGGGTCTAGGTGCTGTGGTGTCGGGTATCGGGGTCGCGGCAGGCCTTTCTCACTCTCCTCTTGCAGCATCTCGTCTCGGGTGGAAGGCTCCGAGGAACGGAGTCGCAACAGGAGCTCCGTCATTGCCTGAGATGGTTCAGGGAGTGTAGGGCTTCGGGGCGTAGGATGTTGGGGCTGGGCAGCTTAGGGGCATTGCTCGTGTGGAAACCCAAGGTATGGAGGATGGCATGCAGATCGACAGCATTTGCAGGAGCTTTCCTCTCAAGAATGATTGATCTGCTGACCCCAAAAGGCCTAAGCCCCAAGCCCAAAATCCCCTACTAACCCCCCCTCCCCCCAAGCCCTTAAATCCCGAAACCCAAATGGGAGTTTACGAAAGTAAGGGATCCTGAATACAGACCCCCAAATAGTAGGATCCCCTTAACAGAAAACCCCCCAAATCCTAGCCCTAAACCCTAAACCCTAAACCCTAAACCCTAAACCCTACACCCTAAACCCTAAACCCTAAACCCTAGGAAAGCAAGCAGCTCCCAGCGAGTCCGCGTTGGGGCCGGCCGCGCGCGGCGCGCGGGCAGCCGGGGGGCCAGGCCGCTGGGAAGCGGCCTTGCCTCTCACTTGGGGCTTGCAGGGTTTAGGGTTTAGGGTTTAGGGTTTAGGGTTTAGGGTTTAGGGTTTAGGGTTTAGGGTTTAGGGTTTAGGGTTTAGGGTTTAGGGTTTAGGGTTTAGGGTTTAGGGATGTTCCCCCTTATACTAACAGGGATGATAATAGGGGGTATACTAGAATCCCTAGTAAGCACTGTTAGTATAAGGAGGAACATCCCAAGGTTTGGGGTTTATAAGCCTCATGGTAAGCTTCACCAGGTTTACAAGGGTTAGTGGAGTTGATACGGCTTACACACATTTATGGGGTCTAGGGTTTGGCACGCTATGCTTAGGCCCTAATGGAGGGTCTGGAGAAGATGCTAGCAGAGACTCAGCCACTACGGTCACTGGGGGAGGGGACACTGGCATAGGAATCTCGAGCACGAGCGTGCTCAGGCGCACCTGATGCAAAGGCTGCGGCTGCCACTCCAAGAGGGATGGCGCCAAAGGTCCTGCGAAGGTTGGGAGGAGAATCTGGGTCACGCGGCTTACACTTGAGGAGCTGACTTTGAAGTCTGTGGGTCTTCGATCCTCAAGCCTTCAATGTGGGGTTTCAAGCGGGACCGCAAGCTAGAGAACCGCCCCATGTACCTGGGCCTACACCCCTCAAACCCACCCCTAAACCCTGGGCACACCCTGAAACTGCCTGAAACCAGTCAACCCTAAACCCTAAACCCTAAACCCTGACCCTAAACCCTAAATCCCAAACCCTAGGAAACCCCAGCCCAAACCTGTAGCTCCGCTGCTGCCATCGTGGGGCAGCGCCCTGGGTGACCCCAGAAGGCCCCCCAACAGACCCGGAGGGATGAAAGGATGAAAAACTGAACCCAAGAGCAACTAAAGGAATGAAAAGGGTGCCCCTTTTTGGTTTGAAGGGGATTGTAAGGGGACCCCAACGCCAAAAAATGGGATAAGAGCCTACTCTGGGTCCTAGAAACAGAACGTTTTCTCAAAGAATGCGTAGGGTTTAGGGCGTGGGCTTTGGGAGGTTTGTTAAGGAGTTCAGGCCTCAGTGAAAACCTGTTCAGTAAGCATTGGGAGTCTTGGGGCTCAGCGAAAACCTCTTCAGCAAGCATTTCAAGTTTTTTAACGCTGGGGATTTTCAACGCCCATGCGCACCCGAGCGGTGAGAAAACTGCAGGCCAACGAGGACACAGTTGATGTAAAGCCCTAAACCCTAAACCCTAAACCCCGAACCCTAAACATCCCTAAACCCCAAACCCTAAACATCCCTAAACCCTAAACATCCCTAAACCCTAAACCCGAAACCCTAAACCCTAAACTAAACCCCAAAGATGCCGGAGGGCCTCGAGGCCGAAACTCCCCGAGGTGCCCGGGGCTGTCGGCCGGCCGTGCGGCGCCGGGAGCAGCATCTTTCTAAGGGACCAAAGGCAGAGCGGCTACCCAGGGGCCGGGGGGGGGGGGGGGTTTAGGGTTTAGGGTTTGGGGTTTAGGGTTTAGGGTTTGGGGTTTGGGGTTTGGGGTTTAGGGTTTCGGTGAGGTTGACGAAGTTCAGGCTTAGGCACTTACTAAGCCCTCAACTCCCCGGGCTCTTGTTTGGAAAACTGTTAGGTTCAGTGGGCACTTCAAAAGGCTTCAACGGTTTCAAGGGGTTTGGGCGAAGCGGGTGAGAACTTCCACATGCCTGGACGGCTATTCTGCACCCACGCGGGCGTGCCAGCTGGAGCCAGTGCTTCCGCAACCGCAGAGTTCAAGGCGCAGGCCGATCCAAGGGTACGTACTACGTAGCGCTGCACAGTTTATAGCTGCCGTGTCAGACCGAAGTCAAGACTACGAAGCTTCCACCCGGTATGCCTCACTCCAGGCTGCGGACTCCGGAGGCTTTGGGACTCAAGCTTGCAGGCTTGGAGCTGGCGATTGGTCAAAGGTTACCGTGGATTCTGCCAACTGATTACCCGGCAAGAATGACTCAACTGCTTTCATCCTGCAACCGAAGCCCTGCACACTTGTTTTCACTTCGCTGTCTTTAGCTGCATCGCCAGTGATGGCTGGAGCCCGACCCCTGCCTTCACGACTTGAAGCCCTCTGCCCTCTAAGCCTTGGCTGCCCGCCACCAGTCCGGCGGTGAAACATGCGAGTGCCGCAGACTGACTGCAACTCCATCGAAGCGTCTACAAGGGTGTGGGAGCCAGGGCTAGGAGCATTAGGGTTTAGGGTTTAGGGTTTGGGGTTTCAGGTTGAGGGCAGCCCGGCTGAGGGTTGCTTGAGGGGTTTGGGGGCGGGGGAGGTGAGAACTGAGCCTTGAGGCCTTCGCTGGTCTTGGGGTTCAGGGTTTCCTATGCGTGGTTTAGGGCCCTTTCCCGAAAGCTTGAAACCTACAGACCTACAGACCTACACACTCAAACGATGCTCAGAAGAGTCAACTGGGTGGCGCCGGGACCCCATGGCTTGCGCCAGCCTGCGTCTTGAGGAGCTTTATGAAGAGCAGGGCTGCAGGTCTAGTGCTCTAACACTTGGCATAGTCAGCACGCCACGAATCACAGTGGCAATGGCCATTGGACATCGCAAGCATCGTGTGAGAGAGGGCCTACCTGGAGAACGGCACTAGCTTTGAACCGTAGGATGAAGCACTTCTTATGAAGCGAGTGAGTGACTGAGTGAGAGCAGAGCAGTGCCTAAGGCGCCATCCCTCCCGGCATCTCAGGGGCTCCGTAAACCGTCACCGCCCCTCGGCTTTGGACTTCAGAACTGGCAGAGCGCACCAGAAGGAGAGGAGGAAGACCAGGGTCCCAGCTCCATCAGCGTAAGTAAACAGCACCATAGAAGGCCCCCTAAGCCCACAGGCAACAGAAGATAGCGTCCCAGCACCATCAGTAGAAGCAAACCCTCCGCCTCCCTCCCGGCAATCGCGGGGATGTGGTGGAGTGGTGCGCATTGCGGGTGGGGGGGGGGGGGGCCGGGGCGGGGGCGAGTTGTCCGGACACCTGGACATGGGGCGGAGATGGCATCAGAAAAGCACCAGTCATAGTGCGTAAGCCAATCATCCCGGGGCGAGTTGTCCGGACAAAAGGTCGAGGAAGGACAAGGTAAACGGAGGAGAGTTGTCTGGGCAACTGGGGTAGGAGGGCACTCGAGGTTTCGAGCCGAAAAACGGACCTCGGGCCCATATCCAGCACAAGAGATATCCACACTCCTAGGGTTTCGCAGAAGGGGTATCATGTAAGCGTCCAACATTCCAAAGCCCTCCCCTGACAGCCTCAACCCCTGAGCAGCCCATGGACCCCTCAACCCTGAACACCTAGATTTCAAGAGGTCTTCTGAGTGGGTTCGGTTAAAGCCCCAAAAAAGGGTTCTCAGAAAACAGGGCTACCTTTTTTGGGGGGAGGGGATTCTATTCAATCTAGGGTACAAATGGGGTACCCCCTATTCTGGGGAAATATCCACGTAAGGATATACGGGTCCTCAGACCCTAAACCCCAAAACCCTAAACCCTAAACCCCAAACCAATGAATGGCTTGTGGGGCTCCCCGCCGAGACGTTCTCCAGGAAGCAGAGCAGCTGGAAAAGTGTGAGCAACTCCGGGGCCTGCTTGGTTTAGGGCTTAGGGCTTAGGGCTTAGGGCTTAGGGCTTAGGGCTTAGGGCTTAGGGCTTAGGGCTTAGGGCTTAGGGCTTAGGGCTTGGGGTTTAGGGTTTAGGGTTTGGGGTTTGGGGTTTGGGGTTTGGGGTTTAGGGTTTAGGGTTTAGGGGTTCGGGTTTAGGGTTTAAATGCCCGAAGGCCCTCCTATTCTCTTAAGGCCCCTAAACCCCAAGCCCTCAGTCACCCCAACGTTTAGGGGGGGGGGGTCTTGAGGGTCTGAGGTTTTGGGGCTCAAACCCTAAACCCGGATCGACCCAAGCCGTGCTTCGCCAGGCCTTCTCTGCCCCAAGCACTTCGTGCACGCGCTGCTGCAACTCCGGGGCGCTGACCTGTTGCCAGGAGATGACTCTCGGCCCAAAGGCCTTCTTATACAAGGTTTTTTTGGGCAATTTTGAGCCTAAGGGTACTGTTTGGGGGTTTACGCAATAGGTGTACCCCTTGGTTTTGGGGGTATCTAAAGGGCACGCCTATTGGGTGAAATACCGCTTAAGAACCCCAAAAAAGTAAAAGCAATTGCAATAATCTCTATATTGCCCTGATTAGAAAAATATGTTGTCATGCTTCGGGGGTTCTTAAGCAAGAGCGTACGTATGAAAATCCCTGCCCCAGGGTTGAAAAGGGACTGGGACGGGGCTTGGGAAGGGGGGAGGGGTCTACATCACAATGGTTGGTGGAGTGGCAGGCGTTTGGAGGTCCCTGAGCTTCCCTTAACCCGAAACCCTAAGCCCTAAACCCTAACCCCTAAACCCTAAACCCTAAACCTGTCTACCAGGCACCTCGCCAGAGGCGCACACGAGCGCGTGCACGGTGCGAAACTCGTCCTGGGTACAGCTTCAGACTCTTTGGGGGTTTAGGGCTTAGGGTTTAGGGTTTGGGGTTTGGGGTTTGGGGTTTGGGGTTTGGGGTTTGGGGTTTGGGGTTTGGGGGCTTGAGCTTGACTGAGGATTTGGGAGTTTAGGGTTTGTTTAGGGGCTTGACATCAGAATCGTCTCATGGCTTTGGGGTCTTGTGAGTTCGGGTTGTGGGGTTCGGGGGTCCCAGGGTTTCGGGGGGGGCTTTGGGCAGCTCGTTTCGGAGCTGCTAGGGGCTTGAAGGGGCACAGGGCCGAAAAGGTAAGCTTTCGGAGTGCCAACGAGAACATGGTGCGAACGTTGATTTGTCTGTCTAGTGCTCCACCTCAAGAACCGGCCACGACGTGCACCTCCAAATTTGGAGCTCCCTTGAGGTTCTGATGAGGCATGTGACGGCCTTCGTGCCGTGCAACGAAACTGAACCGCCTGATCGCCCGGCCACGTCACGGAGGGCAAGAATGCAAGGAGCCCCCGACCCTAAACCCGACACCCTAAACCCGAAACCCTGAAACGGAGAAGGCAGCGCCTCGGGCATCTGATCTTTGAGATACGCGCGTAGGGAGGCGGCCTGTGCCCGGACGGCAGAGCTCTCCGGTTCTTCGGGTCCTTCCTGACTTACTCGTCATGCACACAAGTGCTCAGGGTTTTGGGCTGCGGGGTGGCTTTAGAGGCTTTAAGGGTCAAAACAAGCTTCCGGAGGCGTCCAGTGCGGGTTTGAGGGTGGCTTCCCAAACCACGGCCGTCCTTAGGAAGATCCCGCAAACCCAGCGCGGCCGAACACGAGAAGGCCACCAGAAACCTTATCTTACTTCCCCAAAGGGAGACGAATTCTGTAGTTTCCAGAACCTTAAGAAGTGCCATCAACGCATCAGAAGCTCAGATCTTTAGAAGCCAGCTCCAAGACTAGCCCTGCTCAGCAGCCCTTGCACTGTGGATTTCCTCAAACCCTCTTGCCTTACCGGCATAGCTGCTGGTGGTGGAAGGCGCTCTCACCTCTAATCACGCGGGATCTCTCGAGGGCGGAATGAAGGGATTCATCAGGGAGATCTCCCCAAAAACTCCTAAGGATGAACGGGGTCGAGGGTTCAGGGTTCAGGGTTTAGGGTGTTTGGGGTTTAGGGTATTAACTGTCGACATCATGGCATGTGTAACGCAAGGCGGGAGACTGGAAGGGATTGATCAATCAGGACCCTCATTCCCTTTCGACAGGCTGGCTCAGTCTGAGTTGTCAAGCCAGCAATTCAGTTCTGCACTGCTGTTGCCGGATGGCTCATGCGCCAGCAGATTTGCAGCAAAGCATCCAACTCAAGCGAGTGCTGGAACGGTCTCACACTCTGTTCGAGCTCCCTGCTTGAGACTCTACGTGGGCACCAGGCAAAAGCTCAAAAGCCTGCCATTGCAGCAGGCGCCACAGGCGCCACAGGTGCAGCGAATGCCGGCGGCGCAACTGGCTGCCTCCTTCCGCCTGCGAGCGCACAGGCAGGATGCGCGCACCTTGGCTGACATCATGGGACTATCGTGGGTGCGTGCATGGTATTATTGTTTTTTCACAAAAACTAATATTATTGTTATTATTGCTATGATGGTTATGATGATTACTGTTATTCTTCTTATTCTTCTTCTTCTTATTATTATTATTATTGGGGACAAAAGCCCAAAACGTACAGGCTACCTCTACGGTAGCCGCCTGTCCGTAGCTGTCGGTCGGGCCTCGCGGTAGCCCTACCGTATGCCTATGGATATGCCTGCCTGTAGGCCTACCGGTAGGTAGGCCTGTGGGTAGGCAGGTCGACCGGTAGGCCTATGGTAGGCCTACCGTGAGGTTACCCTACCTAGAGGCCTATGCGTAAGCTACCCATAGCCTACAGTAGGCCTACCCATAGGTCGGACGTAGCCTTGCTTTCGGGCTTCTACAGGCAGTATTGAGATTTTTATAGTCATTATCATTAGTAGTATGATTCTTATTACCATTAATGTAATTATTTTAGCGTTATTATTGTTATTGTTATGATAACCAAGACTATGACTCAAAGGAGGCTTATCAGGTCCACGGCTCAGGCCTCCATACATATACGCCTTGCAACTTGCCTGCATGATAGTAGGGGAGTAGAATTGCAAGAGCCTCGTGTCGCTGGTGCGAGCCGAGGGGCTGGAAGCAGCGCAGCTGCTTCGCGCCGGGATGAAGATCTTGCGGTGGATTGTTGAAACAGTATGGGCACAGCTTGTGATCCTTCGCCGTCTCTTGATTCCGAACGTGAACCACTTGGAAGTTGCAAATGGGACATCGGTGAGCAAAGGGGGTCAGCACCTGAACCGTCTTCGAGGGGACCGACAGCACAACTCCACATGCAGCGTTGGGGCAGACCAGGAACTTTTGAGCATCTCGTTGTGGTCCTTCCCGAACAACGGGCCCTCTTCCTCCCCTTCCTCTTCCATCTCTGCCCCGCGCACGAGCCCCTCGACCTCCTCGTGCTCTTCCTCTGGCCCTGCCTCGAGCTCCAGCTGCTCCCGCTCGTCCTCGCCCTCGCCCTCGCCCACCTCCTGCAGGTCCCCCTCCCGCACCCTCCACCTGGTGGCACCGCAGGTCCAAGGGGGCGCCGCAGCGGCACTGCGAGAAGCCCGGCTGCAGGATGGGCGCGCGGCGGCCCAGCTCGTTGCGGCCCGTGAAGTGCTGGCCCAGCGCCGCATCCAGCGCCGGCGCGTTGCGCTCCAGCGCCGCGTAGCAGCGCTGCGCCACGTCCAGGGCCTCGCGCAGGAAGTCCTCGCGGCCGAGGCGCCCGGCGGCGATGGCCTCCATGCCTCGCTCCATGGAGGCGCGGAGCACGGGCTTCGAGAGGTCCATGCCTTCCTCCACCGCGAAGCGCTGGTACCCTTCCACCAAAGCGATGCCCAGGCGGCTTGGCTCCAGCCGGCCATCTGCGTTCTTCGTGGCATAGGTGCGAGTCTGGATCTTCTGGATGTGGTCATGCATGGTCGCGTCGGTGCCGATCTTCTCCCTGTCCATGATCCCAATCAGCTCCGCTTCGCTCAAGAGTTGGGGAGGCTGTGTAGAAGATTCGACCATCTCCAGGGCGGAAAATGCCACCACCTCGTTTACTTGAAACTGGGGGAGCACATCCTCAACCCAGTTGGAGTACGGGTACACATCCAACCAGCCGCGGTCACGAACTACCACCCCTGCCTTCACAAAGCTCTCCCCTGCGCAAGAGATCTCCACTTCCGTTCGGCTACCCCGCGCATCGGGTGAGCAACAAGCCAGGAAGTGCCTGGTCACCAGCTCATAGACAGACCACTCCTCTGGGCCGAGCTCTCCCCTCTCACAGCAACGCACCGGGTGAATGGGCGGGTGTGCGTGGTCGTCGTGCGGGCCCGCGCGTGGAGATGTGAAGCGCCCAGCCAGCAGGCTCCCAACATAGGCCCCCCAGACACTGGAGCCAGCTTGCACCTGCACCAGGCCACGCACGTCGATGGTGGACTGGAAGCCTGCCATGTGGGCAACTCGGTGACACCGAAAAAATTAAGGGAGACCCTGAAAAACAAACAAAAAAAAAGTGTGCTGTTGCCCGCGTGCACGAGATGTCGCATGGTAAGGAAAAGAAACTTAAACCCATTCAATGAACAAAGGGCCCCTCTGTCATGCCGAAACATGCCGAGGGGGCGGTCCGTCTCGGTACGCGGATAGGAGATAAAGCCTTGCTGGTAGATGGCTTCTGCCACCTGCATGCACCGCTGAGGAGACATGCGGAGCTTCGATGCGGCCAGCTTCGTCATCTCCACGGTGTTCAGTGGCAATGGCCTCCAGCGGGTCTTCGGCTCTTCGAACACGTTGACCTGAGTTCGGCGGAGATCGGGTCAGGGTTTTTACAAGTGAGAATGATCGAGGTTTCTGTTGCGTACCGACAGACTGATGTTCCCAGCATGCTTCGGTGTTAGGGCTGCCTGGCTATAGAGATCACAGCCTAGGTGTTCCAAAGCCAAAGTAGAGGAACATCAGCTCACTCATTTATAGCGTGGAGGGTTTAGGCTTTATGTGGCATGGACCTTTGGGTAGAATGTGAGGTTTTGTCCTTCTTCCCTATTGCTTTACGTACTTAGGCTTCACAGGCATTGGAGGGGCATGTAGGACAATTTAGGGTGTACAGGTCTGAGAGAGAAAGGGGTGTGTTCCCCTAGGATGGCCTGTAAAACCCTCTGAAAAAATACTCCTCTCGACATGATCCTCTCGAACCCAATAAGGGAAAGTATAAAGCATCCCAAAAGCCCCGGTTCAGCGGCTCAATTCGGACGAAGGGCCACCAAGGCTCCCCTGGGTGACTCCTCCACGACCATCTCAAAGAGGGCCAGCGTTGCCAGGCGGTCGAAGAGGCGAAAGCGCCGCCAGTTGAAAGGGAGGTTCCTCCCCTCCCTCTGAACCTCGGCTTTGATGGTCCAAAACGGTTCGGGCACAAAGCGCTGGATGCGCAGAAACCGCTCCACGACGAAGCCCAAGGTGGGGAACTGGCAGGGGCCGTAGCTGACCGTCTCGGCGCGAAGTTCAGGGAACATCTCCTGGTAGCGCAGCGACATCCACCGAGTGAAGGCCGAGCCCGCGCGCAGGTCGAAGAGCTGCCGGGCCTCCACGGCATCCGCCATGCGCCGGTCGGGGGCGCGCAGCATCTGGCAGGCGGTGGAAAGATCCTGGTGCGTCAGCGCCGAGAAGACGGCCCGCAGCACGCGCAGTCGCCCGCCCGCGGCTTGCTGACAGGTCTCCATGACCTCGAAGCAGATGGCCTCACCTTCGCGGTCACAATCTAACCACAAGACCAGCCACTGACACTGCCGCGCCAAATCCTGCAACATCAGAGCCAAGTCTTCGCAGCCTTTGTTGGCCTTCCTCTCCACCGGGGCCTGGAAAAGGCAGACGGGATCACTCTCTTGCCAAGACTTGTACTGCGAGGTGAAGTCCACCTCAAGCAGATGTCCCCGGACTGCGGTGACCAGCATCTTGCAAGGAGTCTGCTGCAGGGTGAAGGGAAACCTCAACAACGTGGACCCCTCCCCCAGCTTTCAAGAAAGATCGTCGATCAAGCCTAGCACCGCCTTGAACTAAGTTCTTTTCTTATGCTTCGCCCACCTGCGCGAAGCCTCTACACGAAGCCAGCTTCGATCTACACTAGGCTATTGGAAAGATGTTCAATAAAGGCTCCGAGAGGCTCCGCGACCCAGGCGCCATGGTTTTGCCGCCTTTGCACGTTTGCCCCGCCGAGGTGCCGCGTGATCTCACGCGCCACCGACGGCTTCTCTGCCACGTTGAGCACGCGAATCGGGGGCATGACATGGCGGCCATCCACCGAGGATGCTTCTTCTGTATTTATTCAGACTTTAAGGGTTTAAGGGTTGAGGGTTATAGTCATTTTTATACACACCCTCTTTGCACAGACTTCAGGGTTTAAGGGTTGAGGGCTATAGGGGAGTGGTTAGAGAGGCGTTGCAGCTTGCCGCCGGTGGAAGGACTCAGGGTTCGACTCAGCCAATGGGCTCTGCTGACTGCGTGTGGTGTGCACAAGCTGCATAGCTTCGTAGGTGGGGGGGCATGAGCAGCTGCTTTTCTGACACCGAGCTGCGGCTCTCGTTGCGGTGATCGTCTTCTGGCCGACTCCCAAGTCCGGGGCAGGCGTAGAAACCACAAGAAGACGAGCATCTTTACTAAAGGAACCGTATAAACTAGTATATACCACAAGAATACGAGCATCTTTCTTAACGTAAAGCCCAAACCGCGTATCCCACATGTTTGGAAAGCCTTTATATGGGCTCGGGGTGCAGAGCTTGCAGGTCGCAAACACGCAAGAAGCCTCCAAAATAAAGCCGCCAAAGCCCTTCAGAACGAAACCCGAAGCTTCAAAACCCTAAACCCTAAACCCTAAACCCACCCGAAACCCACGAGCGCCATTGCCTCTCCAGGATCGGGAGGACCAGTGCCGTCGGGGTCTTGGGCACAGCTCCGTGCTGATGCTTGAGGGGTTCAGGGTTTAGGGTTTAGGGTCTAGGGTCTAGGGTTTAGACGTTAGGGTTCAGGGTTCAGGGTTCAGGGTTCAGGGTTCAGGGTTCAGGGTTCAGGGTTCAGGGTTCAGGGTTTAGGGTTTAGGGTTTAGGGTTTAGGGTTTAGGGTTTAGGGTTTAGGGTTTAGGGTTGAAGGTAGGGTCACAGCAGACGAGGGTTTCGTGGGGATTCACGCTTTGGTCGGTTGTCCCTGGAAACGAGCAACCCAAGTCCCCCAAACATCCTCCTGCTGCAGTCAGCACGTCTTGCCAAACCTATCTTCTGTCTAGTCCATCGGACCGCAAACAAATGCATCCTGCTTTCAAGCGATGCACTTCCGCATGAGACGTCCTACGTTTTCTGAGGGTCACCCTATAAACCCTAAACCCTACACCCTAAACCCTAAACCCTAAACCCCTTGCAAAAGCTGACTGTTTCCGGGAACCCTGGCGCGGGGGCGGCGGAGGCGGTGCGGCCTCGGAAGACTCAACCGCTTCCGAGTAGGATTTAGGGTTTAGGGATTAGGGTTGAGGGGTTTGGGGGTTTAGTGGTTTAGGGTTTAGGGTTCAGGGTTCAGAGGTTTAAGGCTTGGTGAAGGCTTTTGGGATCACAAACTATCAGCAGACTCCTGGCTCACGATGGAAACCAACTGGGGTGCGCAGTGGCGCTGGGTTCCACAAGGGATGGCGTGGGAGCGCAAAGAAAACACCTAAACTCTGAACACCAACTCAGGATGGCTCGCGTTGGTGCTTAGGACTTCAGACTCTAGGGTTCAGGGTCTAGACCCAGGAACCTAGGAATCAAAAGGGTGCCCTTCTTGGTCTTGAGGGGATTATACGGGAACCCCAACCAAAAGGAAATAAGGGCCTGCTCCGGGTCCTAGGATTTAGATTTAGGTTTAGGGTTTAGGGTTTAGGGTTTAGGGTTTAGGGTTTAGGGTTTAGGGTTTAGGGTTTAGGGTTTAGGGTTTAGGGTTTAGGGTTTAGGGTTTAGGGTTTAGGGTTTAGGGTTTAGGGTTCAGGGTTTAGGGTTTAGGGTTTAGGGTTTAGGGTTTAGGGTTCAGGGTTTAGGGTTTAGGGTTTAGGGTTTAGGGCTGGTGGGTCGAGCTGAGGCGGCGGCTGCATAGACACCGCCGCCGCCACCTTGGAGGATGCAAGGCTTTGGACTCAGAGGAGCCTCATCCTCGTAACCTGAAAGCCCGTAAAGCCCTCAAAACCCGAAAAACCCCAGAAAACCCCAAAAAACCCTAAAATCATCAAGCTTGGAGGAGACTGAAGACCTGCTTGCCTGCAGGAGACTTAAAAGCCCTGAACCCTAAACCCCAAGCCCCAAGCCCCAAGCTCTAAACCCTAAACCCCAAACCCCAAGCCATTAAAACCCTAAGACCTAAAGACCCCAGACCCATCTGCTTGGTAAGATGATGCCCAGTGCTCCGAACTCGGCGGCGCTCGTAGGGCCGCGGCCAATCTTCAGGTTGGCCACGCTGTGCCTTACAAGGGAGCCGGGCTCCGATGTGAGCTCCGAAGGAAGTTTAGGGTTTAGGGTTTAGGGTTTAGGGTTTAGGGTTTAGGGTTTAGGGTTTAGGGTTTAGGGTTTAGGGTTTAGGGTTTAGGGTTTAGGGTACGGGGGGAACCCGAAGGGGGACGAGAAACCGAAAAGTCAACCCCAACAGAATCCCTTGATTTCCCTGGATCAACCACACAACAAACCCAAACCACAGGGCACTCACCTTTTACTACCAGGCACATGGCCCAGTCTTGAGCCATAAAAAATGATTTCCGGGTTTATTAACCCTTTCAACTTCCAACACTAACTTCTTTCTACAATACCAGTTGCAGCTCCGCACTCCCGCTGTCCTAGGATTTCCTAGGACACATTGGAGATGCAGATCTTTGGTCAAAAACTGCCATTAGGGCAGTAGCCTGCTGCTTGACATGCACATTATGGTTTTACGTCTTCCAGGACGACCCTTCAGCTCATTGGCTGAATCCCTTACCATTGAGGATTTCTTCACCTCGAACTTGAAAAAGTTTACGTTCCAGCGGCCCGTTCCTCACCAAGGAACTCAGCATTCACCACCCAGCCATCCTTGAGGCAATGCTTGCAAAGCGTCTTAGCCCTGGGCTGTGAATATCGCAGAACATCACAATCACTGCTTGCGTGCACACAGTTCCCACCCACTGTTGTATACAAAGTGGCACTCGCAGGAATAACCACCACTTTCTTGATCCACAGCCATTTGTACAGCCGCCGAAAGAGGCACCATGTCAATTCCCAGATTATGATTGCTGCCACCAAGTACGCAACAAGGTCTGAATTGTTGATAACCATTTCAATGCCTTGAGCCAGAACCATAACCGTAGATGTGTTGGCGACCTGGCACACCCCTTCTTCTGAGCAAAAGAAACCAGCAGCTGACACTTTTTCTCCACCTGTTGCCATCCCTTGCAGGGATGCAGCCACCATCATGACCGCCATTGCAAGAGAGGCCCTTTTCAAGTCAGTTCCTTGCACTAACAGTTGGAGACCCCAAAGTGCCTTTTGCTTTGCATAAACCTGTCCACTCATCAATTTTGTCAACAGATCAGCAATCATATACTCACCACGAAGATGCGCTATCACCATGTAACCACGGTCTACCAGAGACCTGACACCGGCTGCTCGAATTCTCAGGTGTCTTGTCCTCCAGCTACCAGCAGGATATTGAATGATTGAACACGTCGAAACCGAATCTGTATACAGCACCTTTTGCAGCGATTCTTCATCTGTTCCCACCAAAGCGGCAATTATAGGGGTACACGACTGGATCATCGTTGCTCCCTCTATAGATGCATGCAATTCAGCTTCAGCAGTGCTCAAAGCCACCGTTGATTGTCTCTGCGTTGCCCACATCACTGGACAATCACCCCAAACCACCACCGCTCCTGAGTGGCTCTTTTCGTTTTCACCTGCTGCAAAGCTGGCATCCGCGTAAGACTCCACCACCTTGACGCCTCGCCCATAACGCAACACCTCATTCCTTTCTTTTTCGCATGTTGCGATTGCACCAAACGTCAGGCCTAACGTTGGAGTTGCAGCAAGGTATCGAAATACCTCCTCAGCCTTTTTAACCACAAATCGCGGCCTTCGGGATGTCCACAAAGACAACTGGCTTGTGCAGAAAGAAATTTTGATTGCCACCCAGAGGAACTCCCCTACGGCACCTTGAGCCGCTCGCAAGGAGGGAATATCCACCTCCTCTTCTTCACCTGGAGTTTCTTTCACCATTGGCAGGTTACTACCTTTTCCAGTTTCATCAATCTGATACCCTCTTCGGTTCAGCAAATCTCTCACGAAGTCCTCCTGGTTGAGAAAGAAGCTGCCATTTCGGTACCAGATTTGGACACCCAAAAACTTCAGGAATCCATCACCACAGCCTGGACCACAGAACTCGGGTTCAGAAGTTTTCCACTCCTTCCTGATCTGTTCCAAGGCTTCCCGGAGCACTGTCATAGTCCCAGCCATCAAAAAATCATCCACGTAAAGACCCATTGTCCCTACCAACTTGCTTGCACCTTCCGGCTTCTCTTGTGCCATAATAAGGAACAGACTTGGGTCTGCATTGGACCTCTGAAAGCTCATTGCTTGTCCATCCTTTGACACCCAAGACATGCCTTGAAGACGTTGGTCTCGCCACTCCACCCATGCTGCAGGACTTTCGGCCAAACCGTACAAGGCCTTCCTCACAATCCACCGCTCCTCTTTTGTGCAAAGACCCAATTTCACCGCCGCCCTTGGGGGCTGCACCACCACCAAACGCCCTTCTCTTTGCGCCCTATTCATCGGCGCCGTCAGAAAAGCTTTGGAGATGTCTAAGCCAGCGATGATCCACACCATATGTGCTGCGTGCCTCACTTGGCACCTAAATGTAGTTGAATCTAAACCTGGAGCGTACAGCGAGTGACGACTGAGGGACCTTGGCCCTTCGTATTCTGTAGCTGCCGTTGACGAAATAAAGTTCCCACATGCACAGATACGGGCACGCCTCCTCCCTGTCCCTTGCTTTCGGGTAAACACCACCAGACTGGGAACGTACTCAATCACCGGTGCATTAGGCTCTTCCGCCAATTTGTCCAGCTTTTCTTGAGTTGTTGGTTCCACCACTTCCAACTCTTTAACCAAAGACTTCACCTCGTCCGACAATGATTCCCTCCACTTCTCCAGCTCTTGCATGGCTTCTTGTGTAGGGATTGTTTTTGTTTGCAGGAACTCGACCTCCTCCGCTGCCTCCAGCGCAGTATTCTCTTGTACCACT